CTTATTGCGAGAGAGGATTGAACAGCAGCCTTAGATAAAGGTCTGTCTGTCGATGTGATACTTATAGATTTTAGCAAAGTATTTGACAAGGTTTCACACTTAAGTCTTATGCAGAAGCTCACGAGCTTTGGAATACTAAGTACTGTACAGGAGTGGATAGAAAACTTTTTATGTAATCGCAGACAGAGAAGGAGGGTCAATGGGACGCTGAGTAAATTCTATTGTTTTGATCGTTTATACGTATCAAAACTACTGTTTTTCACTTTAATTGAGTTTCTTTCAGTTAAATTATTCGATTAGATTATCGTTTTTGTTTCTAAAGTAGTTTTGTTGTCAGCACTTTTGAGTACTCCGTTTTTTTATAGTATCTGCTAGTACTTTTGGTTCTAACGATCCACAGTTTTCCACTTTTTTTTGGTCATAGATTATTTTTTGTCCCTGAGTATTTTTGCATCTAGTTCTTTCTGGAAAAAACCCGTGTTTAAATGACTGGATAGTGCAAAAAAAGTAATTGCCAACGCCTGGGCTGTCGTTATCCTGTTGAAAGCGGCATGCAGTGCGATGAGTGCAAAGGATGGTACCACGAAGTTTGCACAAATTTAACGCCTGCAGCTTTCAAACGGTTCAGTAGGAATGGTTGCGTATGGCTCTGTCAACAGTGCTGTTTGGATGCTAACAGCTTGCCAACCGAGGCCATCCCATTGGCTAGTGCTGCTAAAAAATGTTTTGGCAAGAGTGGTCGCGACACATCATCAAGTACTCGATCCGTTGACACGCGAATTTGCGTGAGGCAAACTAAATTGAGTTCGAAAACAGATGACTCGCACCGGCCAAAGGAGGGAGAACAGTCCTCAAAGAGTTCTGTCCGCACAAAAAACTCAAGGAAAAGAGTTTCTTCTGTCCCACGTCCTCAAAATGGTATCCAGAAAGAAACACATAGAAGCCGCAACCACAAGGCTCGATCAGTTTCTAAAATGACACCAAAACTGACCTCCCAAGTCATCGAGAAACCTCTGGAATCCCACAGTATGTTTAACGTGACTGTGGTTGCTTCTCCACGCAACGTTGACTAATTGGTTTAGGTTGTGAGGAAGAAACAGAAAATCGATATAAAAGGGAACCCTGCCCCCACAAAAGAAGTCGAAAAATCGAAGGCTGATCACAGTAACAGATCAGTCATTTTTCATAGGATCAAGGAGAGCGAAAGCTCGAACCAAAAACTCGTTTTGAGCATGACATTGTCTTGATAAAACAGCTACTTAATCAACTCATGCCTCAAAATATCTCCAGTCACCTTGCTAAAGGTGTATAGACTAGGTAGTTTAGCGAACTTGAAGCCTAATCAATCTAGACTGCTTAAAGTAGTTTTCAAATCTTCGAATGAAAGGGATTTAATTTTGCAGAATGGACATAAATTAAAGGGTTTGGGAGTTTTTATCCGAAAGGACTTGCCGTTAGCAGACCGTGTAAAAAGACGGGAAGCCGAAAAGGAACTACAAATGAGGTTAGACGCTGGCGAAAAGGACCTGAAAATTGTAAATCTTCGGGTTGTGAGGCTTCGTCAGAGAATGATGGCGAAGCCACTCTGGGTGAAACACGAAGCCACTTAAATAGGCTACGGATCTGTTACACTAATGCTCGAAGCTTGCTCGATAAGCTATCGGAACTAGGTGAACAGATTGACTCGACAAAGCCAGACATAATCGCAGTCACAGAAACCTGGCTGACACAGTCTATAGATAATATGGAACTCGATTTTGAGGGTTTTACTTTAGTAAGGACCGACAGAATACATAGGCGTAAAGGAGGGGGAGTAGCTGTAATAATTAGGAATGCTATCCCGTTTGACATTATTGATAGTGTATCCCATGATAGTCGGACGTGTGAATTGGTTAGTTGCAGCTTGAAATTCAAGGGGCAAGAGCTGCTAATTGGTTTGGTCTATCGCAGTCCAAGCTGTGAGGTAAATGATGTCCTGTTAAACAGGCTCAAAAATTGGTCGCGAAGTGGTCGATGTCTAATCCTAAGGGACTTTGTACCTATGGTAGACTAGGGAAATCTGCGAACCGAATCATCAGATAATTTCTTCGAGCAGGAACTAGTTGATGCGGTTATAACATGTGCCCTAGTGCAACATGTGAAAGAAGCGACTAGGTACGACCCGGACACTGAATCATCCTTACTAGATCTTATATTAAATCACTATGAGGATGACGTTGCGAACCTCCTTTACATGCCACCCCTAGGCAAAAGTGATCATGCAGTTTTAAATTTTGACTTCCATATTACTGTCAATCACGAGCACGCGTCAGCTCAATCCAGACCTAACCTCTGGAAAGAAAACATACCATGCACTCAGCATCGTTAGTAAATTGGACAATAGACCCAGAGTCCTCAATTGAAACGGTTTCGGACGCATCACGTAATTTATACTTAAAAGTTACGGCACCCCACATCCCTTGTACTACACCAAGGGGGCCGAGGAACTTTCCACCATGGTTCAGTAGGGAGATCCACATCCTTCTCTGAAGGAGAAGAAAAATGTGGGATAGATTTAGGTTACTGGGGACTGATGAGACAAAATCTGAGTACCGAAAAGCTAGGAATACCTGTGCATCGATCCTCCGTAAGTCTAGAAAGCTGTACGAAGAAAAAATTGTTAAGGAATCCATAGAATGTCCTAAACGCCTGTATTCCTATATAAACCAAGGACAAAAAGAAGAGGAATTATTCCTGCACTATGGGGAGACAGTACTGCCGCATCATTAGTGGAAGATGACTTTGGTAAGGCTGAAGTGTTCTCAAACTACTTTAGCAATGTATATACCATAGAAGCATCCTTCCCGTCAGCTCATACAAACCCCCCACACATACACTGGATAGCGTGACCATAAATGAAATCGATGTCTTTGATCTGCTAAATAAGCTTGATATAGGTAAATCCATGGGGCCCGATGAATTGCATCCTAGGCTACTAAAGGAATTATCTAACTTCTTTGCGAACCCTTTAAGTATATGCTTTAAGCTATCCGTTACGCAGGGTCGTTTACCAAAAGACTGGAAGAACGCCATAGTAAGTCCTGTCTTCAAAACAGGTACGAAACATAAACCTGAGAATTACCTACCCGTTAGCCTAACTAGCGTGGTTGTTAAAATCTTAGAAAAGATTATTCGGAAAGAGCTGTTTAAATACCTCGATGTAAACCGAATCCTCTCGGAGAAACAGCACGGTTTCAGAATAGGTTATTCTTGTCTCACTAACTTATTAGTCACTCGAGAAAGCTGGTGCGCTTTTAAGGATCAAAAGTTACCGGTAGACGTGGCTTACATTGATTTCAGCAAAGCTTTTGACAAGGTTCCGCACAACCGGCTGTTATATAAGCTAAAAAATGTCGGAATTGGAGGCAATCTATTGACGTGGATAGAAGACTTCCTTGTTCGGCGCCAACAAAGAGTACGGGTAAACTCAAAATTATCTAGCTGGGAAACTGTGTTTAGTGGAGTGCTCCAGGGTACAGTTTTGGGGCCAGTGCTATTCCTCTTGTATGTAAATGACCTTCCTCGCTTACTATCGTCATCGGTCTTGCTATATGCTGACGATGTCAAGATATGGAGAACGATACGATGTAAGGGTGATAGCTTAGAACTCCAAAATGACCTGAAGAAATTATCCGAATGGTCTCATACATGGCAGCTGCCGATAAATACTTCCAAGTGTGTTGTGATGCATATCGGTCATCAAGGTTCAGATACATACACGATGAATAACACTGAGCTACCTGTTGTCCAGACACATACTGACTTAGGAGTCATCGTTAGCCAAGATCTGAAGACTACTGCACACTGCCGTGCAATAGACGCCAAAGCTTTTAGAACTTTATAAACAATACGTAGGGCTTTTACTCATGTCGACGCTCAAACGTTTTTGACTTTGTATACAGTGTTCGTACGTCCTAAACTTGAGTACTGTATACAAGCGGCTAGCCCCTGCCTAAAAAAAGACAGTGAGCTTTTGGAAAAGGCCCAGAGAACAGTAACTAAGCTGATTCCCGTAATAGCGAAGCTTCCGTATGATGCTCGACTGGCCAAGCTAAACCTATTCCCTTTGTCATATCGTAGAACTAGAGGCGACTTGATTACAGTTTTCAAATTGCTTAGTGATAAATTTGCACCTGTTATGTCCTCATTTTTCTTGTCCTCCAAAACAGAGAATTTACGAGGACACTAGAAAAAAGTTCACAAGGCCAGAACAAATTACTTGTCAGCTGATTATCGACTTTCTCACCGAATCATCAACGAGTGGAATTCATTACCTCAACACGTGGTTGAAGCTCCATCCGTAGATTCTTTCAAAAGAAAGTTGGATCAACTGAGAGAACACAATTGCCAGGACTAACACAGGCCATCAAGCCTCCTGTCCTTTCCAAACTGAAACTGAAACTGAAAAGTGGTGTACTCCAAGGCACCATCACAGGCCCTCTGCTCTTCCTTCTCTACGCAAATGAGTTACGATGAGCGTTTAAAACGCCTAAACCTCTCCCCTTGTCGTATCGTCGGATTCGAAGTGACCTTATACTGGCATTTTGTATCTTTAATTATGATTTAGGTGTTAATATATCTTGTCTTTTTGCTCCCTCCAGCACTAATAATCTCCGAGGTCATAGCAAGAAGTTTCATAAACCGCGATCTAATAAACTTAAAGTGGGGTCCCGTTTTTCTCATGGAGTAGTCAATGATTGAAACGCCTTGCCCGAACAAGTGGTATTAGCCCCATAAGTGAATATTTTCAAGGAAAAACTGGACCTTCACTGGAACTATTAACACAGGGTCACCAACCTACTATCCTTATTAATGAAGACTGAAGTTCGAATCTTAGATGAAGAAACGTCTAGCATATACATCTAGGCCACACTTAGTGTATCAGATTCAAACAGTGAGTCTTGTTTCCAATATACAATTGATATGCTTCAGACTTTTATTGTTATATTGTCTGAGGTGGACTGAAGTGGAGGCTTATTCTTTTCAAGGTCATCAACTGCCAACTTATGGCAGATATAGCCTTCGATCATATAACTCAGGAGGTTAGGGGTACTGTATATCCGGGTAAGCTTAGACTCAAAGAAGATGAGTTTATGTATAAAAATGAAAAGACTGGAAAGGTGGATCACTTCTACCGGTCAGATATAGAGTCAGCCCAGTGGATAGTCCGTGCGACTGGTTTAGGATTAAGCATAAAGTTAAAAAATAACTCTTTGCATCGGTATGATGGCTTTGGTGAAATCGAAGCGGAAAAGGTCGGGAGCTTTTTCAAGAAGTATTTTGACATTGAAATTGTAAAGCGTGAATTGTGCTACAAAGGCTACAATTGGGGAGACGTTGATTTCGATGGTAATTCAAATTTGCATTATCTACTGATAAAGGCGATGTTCTCGAGTTTTCAGTTAAAAACGCTATGGCTTTTGAGGTTCCTCTAAGCAATGTCGCAAATGCCGTTTTGAATAAAAACGAGATTATTTTTGAATTTCATCTAAATGATGAAGCTGAGGTTTGCTTATCTGAAATGCGTCTGTACACTCCGGGAACTGAAGCTGATAGGGAAGGCAAAGCCCCTTCTATTTATTCCAAGGTTACTCAAAAGGCAGATATTATTCAGGTAAACTAATTATTTACATTATCATGACAGTTAAGGTTACGGGAGATTTCTTGGTCGAATTCAAACAGTTGCAATGTCTTCAACCTCGTGGCCGTTATGATGTTAAATTATATCCAAGTTTTATCCACTTACATGGCAAGTCTTACGACTTTAAAGTCCCAAAAAATACTATTACTCGGTTGATGGTGCTTCCTCATCCCGATAATCGACAGATATTCTTTGCTGTTCAACTTGATCCACCAATCAAACATGGTCAAACCAGATATCATTTTGTAATTTCCCTTTTCGACAAGGATTCGCACATAAACTTAGAGATGGCTGCGACAGAAGACTGGCTTCAGGAGCAGTTCAATGGAAAATTAAATCGAAATATTTCAGGACCTGAATATGAAGTTGTAGCTCGCGTGTTTAAGGTGAGTTTGCCTCGAGGTTCTCGATTTCTAGAAACCTCTTCCAAGACTTTTGTGGTGCTTGAAAGTCTAGTATTGCAGTGTGGTTTTTCATTTTATAGTGTAACTGCTATCAGAAAATCTATTGAGAGTATTACGTACTGCTGGAAAATATTCTTAAACTAACAGTTCTTGAATATGTTTAGTGCTCTTCTTTGGTATCTGGAACACATGCTTATAAATTAAAGCACGTAGGTAGCGAGAATTTATGTGATGATTTGAAACTGATATCAATCTGCGTAAAATCGACACAAGTTCCTTCGTACTGAATACTTTGCTGGGAAAAGCCTTTATACCCGTGGATTAGCCGAATATGTCCTTATGACACATTAGATAACGAACTACTTCAACTTCGATTGCTACTCATCAGTAATGGCTATCCACCCAGATCCGTCGACACAGATTGTTCAAAATAAAACTGCAAATATTGAATTTAAAAGAGATACGTCTACCAAAATCTTACGTAAATGGATTTAAAAACCCCTGAATAAAGCTTATCCAGCTAAAGATTGTGTTGTCTTTTCAAGCCGACTTATCATTTGCGGTTGTTTTAAGGCTAACCCTCCGCTTCTGGCCACATTGATGTATACCTATGAATTTATTTGCTTTTGTGAGGCAGGTTACATTGTCTGCACGAAGCAATCATTTTCCAGACGTGAGGAGTCCAAAGCTGTCACTAACTCAATACAGCAGCACCTGACCGACTCTGGACACGTTGATTCAAAGGAGTCGTCCTTTAATGTAATCTATACAGTCAAAATAATCGGATCACAGGAAGTTCGAATCAAAAACGCATGCACTACCAAGGCTTTGGCGATCCACCAATTCAAACTCGATCTTTGTGTGCAAAAACTATACGTCCCACCTCCCATTCTTCCTCACCCCTAGTTCCCTTCTCCAGGATGTCACTCCTCGTATTTCCATTCAGTCTTAACCTGGCTCTGTTTAGTAAGACAGGACTGCCCTTGGACTTTTTTTTAGAGAATGGTATGATTAAGTAGTTTAATAAGTCATTAAGGGTCTGTAATAAACACCTCAGGGAAATCAAGGACATATAACCAACTTTCCATTCTTCCATTGCAACAGTGGAGTTAGGAAGGGTTGTCTTATCTCATCATTTTTCCTTAACTGTTCCATCACTGACATTCCTTAGTCACCTGTAGATAATGACAGTGGCTTGCTGTGCGGTAGTACAAAGGCTATCCAGATCGAACTTAATCAGTTGACAATTAATTTTCGCAGGTACACCATGTACTTTGCCCCTTTGAAGTTCAAGGTACCGCTCCAAGAATGGCAGGTGCTTGTGTATATGTTCAACAACTGTGGCCAACTGTTAGTAATAGTAAAACAGTTTGCGTAAGTGTTAGTAATGGGATTTCAGATGAGACCACTCTGTGTATTTTGAAAGCCAAAGCGATTAGTTCCAATCTGGGCCATCTTTGATACCTTCACAATTCTACTCTAGTTGTAAGTGAGGACAGTCCTACTACGTGCTTGTGAAATCTAACTCCGAGTTGCAAATATGAAGTGGTTGTCAATGTTTCCGAAGGATTGCTAACATTCAGTGACAATATCATGTTAATGACGTTAGGGTTCGACAATGTTTGCTAAAGTGTCAGTAGTTCAATCAATTTTAACATCATGAAACATCGACTTCGGTGGTTTAGTAATAGTTTATGAATGTCATCTCAGCGGTTCACACATTATACATTATTCGTTGGCGCTGAGATTGGTTGACAAAGGCAAAGTGGTAGTCGGTTTATGGTACGAGGCAGCTACACTGGACTGATGTCTGCCAGTCCATCACGACTTCTTAGTTGGGATCCTAGACGTTATCAGACATTACTCAGTGCAAAATCCACTTGAGATCCAGCTGTAATTCCCTTTTGAGTTCATAAAAATATAAGGAATTCCCCTAAATAAATGAAGTCTTTCTTAGCCGTATTTTTAGTTAAATTATACCTCTTAATAAAGGGTAATTTGTTTCATACCATTGATATTGATTTTACTAACTTTCCCTTTATTTCTTCACGATATTATGACTATTTATTTTATGCATACCTTTTAACTACCCTATTTACCAGGCTTTTTACCCTGTAAATAAACAAATGAAAACAATTGCAATGATATAGTAACTCATCTATCGGCTCTAAAATTATGGCTCTAGATTTTACTTTACGCAAATTTAGTAGGATGAATATTTTTCTCCATTGAACAGTCAGTATTTCCTAGTTTTTCAAGCGCTTGAATGTTTGTGGTTACTCCGGTCTGCTTTTCTGCTAAATTTTCAAACAGTTAACTGATTTTATCCTAGGTTTCATTATTATAGTCTTTAGAGTTGACGCATCTCAGACTCAATTGGAAGGAGCTAGATGATAATTAAGTCAAATGTAGAATGTGATGCTATGTAGAGAACCAGTGACTCAGTTTCAAACAGTTACAGTTAATAGTAAGTGATTATATCATCAGTTAGTCCAATATTGGAGTGGGTCTCATGCTAATTCAGACAACCATTCATTTGCGTTAAAAATGTAAAACAATGATGTATAAAGTTAACATAATTTTATGAAGTTTGATGGAATGTTTGATACGCGTCACATATAGTACACATATTTTTGAGTTGTAGCTTTCTATCTTAGCGTTATACCTCATGTTTTTTTCTTTTGATTATCTTATCATACACAGGTTCTATTTGATCAGAAAGTTACAGTCCCAGGAAGCTTCTCTGCAAAAGGCGGTGGTTGTGCAGTTGCATGCAGTTATAAAGCGTCTGTTGGTTTGTTGTATCCCTTAGAGAGAGGCTTTACATTCGTCCCTCGTCCTCCAATTTCTATACGTTTCGACGAAATAATAGCTGTACAATTTTCCCGTGGTACGGGCGCTCAAAGATCTTTTGATTTTGAGGTACGTTGACTATCATATTCAAATCCAGTTGTTTGGCCAGCTAAAAAACACAACAGATAGTCTGTTTTGATATTTGTTAAAAATTATTTTTATAAATGACAGAATTAAAGTGTAGGAATTATTTTTTACTTGAAAAACACTTGGTCAACCTAATGCACAAACTTCTCAGGGCGGCTTGTTATCAATATTAGTTCACGTACAACAACATGCACAAAACACGAGATAACTTCCATAGGTATCCAGATATACATAGCTAATTCAATCGTCATTGTATCATTACACCACCATGCTTTTCGAAGGTCAGTTTACTAACCTCCAAATAGTTACCTTATTTGAATGCTAAAAGTGTAACCTGTCAGTCAGTCAGCTACAACGTAAGACCAGGCACATATGTGCATCGGTCCAAATTGCCATACCTCATTAGCACAACAAGATGAACACCGAATTCATAGAAGTAGTCACTTCAATGGTGGTAATATATAAAGGAAAGATTGCATATGAGGACATAGTACAGGAAGAAAGAATTAGTTGGTAGAAAGAAAGATATGAAGCGAATTTAATCTCATAGTTTAAAGGAAGACAAAGGGTGCATACACCTACTCCATTGTGATCGATTCTGAGCCATGTCACCCAGAGTCTCCAACCATTGGTTATGATAGTCACGCGGACCCCAACCAAGTAGTCTGCATCTACCAACATGGCTCAGATTGGAAGTTAATGACTTCAAGCACTGGTGCCACGTTTCGGTTTGGCCGCCCCTAACTCTCTTCCAACCGTCTTCAACACTAATCTTCCTGGGTTCGATTGTAGCGGATTATTGTCATAATATTGTGTGCCAGTCGAGGTTCTATCGAGTCTATCATAAATTTCATAGGCCTAATTTCCACTAACTAGTAATTACCGTAGACCCTTAACGAACTCAATCTAAAGATATAAAAATGCTTTTATATTCTACTGTGTTGATGTTCTTATCTATGATTACTAAACGTCAAGTATATCACTAAGCCTAATCGAACGTTTTAGGAAAGAAAGTGATTAGTTTGCGAAAATTATCCGTACAATCAACCAAGTGGTTTATCCGAAAGTTGGTTTTGATCCATTCTTCGAAAACGCGTTTCATTAAAATATTCGATTTAATCAACATATTTCACTAGTGTTTAATTTTTATGTTTATTCAAAAAAATGCAATGTCTTGATATGTTTTTTTCATTTATAGGTGGAAACTCGTAATGGTTTAACGCATACATTCACTTCTATCGAAAGAGATGAATATCATCATTTGTATGATTTTGTAACTGCTAAAAAACTTCGTGTTAAAAATATCAGTTCAGAAAACAAAACTACTAATCCTGGTGATGACGTTTGGTCATCATCTGATGAATCACATGATGCTTACATGGAGAAGGTAAAGACAGAAGCTCGAGAACGAACAACTGAAATGGATGATGACGATGACGACGATGAAGATGATGAAGATTTCAAACCACCGGAATCTGATGGTTCTGAACTTGCAGAAGAATATGATAGTAATGTTCAAACAACTACAAGTGAAGATGAATCTGGAGACAACGATGATGATGATGATGGTGATGATTCAGAAGAGAACAAAAGTAATACTAGCAGTAAGAATACTTCTACACACAAGAAAAAAGATAAACGAGACAATGATAGTGATGGAGATAAAGACAGCTTGTCAAGTGTAAGCAGTACTAGTGAACCTAAAGCAAAACAAAAAAAATTGAAAGAAGAACCAAAGAAAGCAACAACTAAATCTCGTAAAGATGAAACAAAACGACAAACAACAAAAAAACAAAAAAAACCTAAAGATCCTAATGCACCAACTCGTCCACTTTCTGCATATTTCTTATGGTTTAATGAGAATAGAGAAAAAATTGCCAAAAATTTAAATGGACAAAATTCTGTTGCTGAAGTAGCTAAAGCTGCTGGAGAGATTTGGCGAAATATGGATAGTACAGTTAAATCAAGTTATCAATCAAGAGTTGATGAATTAAAAAAGAAATATCAAGAAGATTTACGTATATATCAATCAAATTTAGCATCTTCTAAAGAACCAGATTTATCACCAGATTCTAGTAGTTAAGTCCACAAATAATTAATTAATTCTTGTGTAATAAAATATCAATTTATTATTGTTTTAATATACTATGTACACTACATATATATACCATTTCTTATTATTTTGTTATTAGACTGAATGAATCAATTTACTTTAATATTTTATGTAGAGATTTCTAAGAACTCTCGCCCATAAAAGGATTAACAATCATTTGGTTATATTAGATACATAGCCTGGTGCTGTTGTAACGGGAAAAAAATATTTTTGCATATTCAGCATATAATAGGATAATACTATAACTTGATACGTTATATCCAACTATAGAAATTACGATCAATAATTGAAAATTAGCTAACAGACCAGAAAATCATTTGTTTAACATAGATGCTAGCCGTTCACACAAAGTTTAGTCCACAATTAAGTTAGTAGAAATAAATCATAGAAACGAATACACAACACTAAGTAATGTCACAACATTTAGAAAAAGTGGATGGATTATGTCTTCATTTAATGCTTAGTCACATCTTACTTTCGCTGGTTACACATTAGATACAAATCGTACGTCTTCCCAAAACACCAAATAAGATCAGTATAATAAAAACAAATTATCAAGATGAATGGTGAAGCAGTCGAAATAATATACCACCAATGATAGTGAGCAAGACTAAATAGTAAAGAATACAGTTCAGAAACTAACAACGAAAACGTATGCATGAAGAAGTACTGGGACTCATGGATTGGCAAAGGCAGGAGTTCTGGATATTCACATATGATCTCTGTCGTTTCTTCCAAGGGGATATTTGTGAAGAGAGATGAGACGTCAAATGAGACCATGAATTTATCAGAAGCATTAAGGTTATCAAGCTTTTGTACAGATTAAAGCTATCTTTCAAACTGTAGGGTGCTAGTTTCATGCTGATTGGTTTTAAGCACCTGGTCAGCCAGCGGGCAAGTTTATGAAAGGGTGATTTGGTCATAGATAATATTGGTCTTATCAGGACGTCAGGTTTATGTGTTTTGGGTAGGCCGTATAAGTATGGTAACTGTGACCCTTTTGGTTTGAGTTCGTTATATGTATGATTTAAACAGCTACTGTTTTTGTGTAAAAAAAATATACAATTTAAATTTAACAATGTGCTGTACCGCCAAATTGGTGGAGTAGCCATGGGCAGCTCTTTGAGCCCAATTCTGGCCGACATATTTATGGGAAACCTGGGACAGAAGAGGCTCGGGCACGCAATCGATGGCAGCACAGTCTATTGTAGATATATTGATGACACATTTGTTGTGTGCAACAAACACAAGCACTCTATGAACCTACTCAGTCTGTTTGATAAAGCACACAAAGATATAAAATTTACTATAGAACATGAAGTTGAAGGTAAATTCTATTTCCTAGATATTGGAATCAGACGAACATCAGATGGTATATTACAAAGACACATTCATCGCAAAAATACATGGGGTGAAGTTTGTCTCGATTACTACAGCTTCTGTCCAATGAGTTACAAAAAGGGTATTGTATGAACCCTTTTTGACCGCGCACGTAAAATCTGCTCAAAGTAATGCCTGGAAGAAGAAATTGCTCTAATCACTAATTGCTTACGTGAAAATGCATATCCGGTGAAATTCATCCATAAATATGCAAATACCAACCCTCGGGTAAAGCATGATACAGTGGGAAAGAAAACTTGCTTCTTATACTTACGCTTCAGAGGAGATGAAATTACTGGAATAATCAATCACAGAATAAATTCCACGTTGAAAGTGATCTACCCATCAGCAAAACTGGCGACGGTATAGGAAACGAACTGCTCACTCAAAAAAACTAAAATTGACAAGTCCTCTTTTCTCAGTAGCTCCAACTGCATTTACCAATTTACATATACGTGCCAAAGCACATATTTTGGAAGAACTGAGAAAAGAGTACATTTCTGAGAATGTTCCGAAGAAATTGAGGCTGCGAAGGACTAGGGCTCTCAACAGTGCAATAGCTCGGCATTTACTTGAAACCGGTCATACCATCGACATCCCTCATGCTTTTAAAATTATCAGCAGACAAAGAAGTACGGTTGCTCTTCGTTTTGCTGAAGCGATCGAGATAAAAAAACTTAAACCGGATTTATGTATTCAAAAAGAGAGTAATAAACTTATTATTACCCTGGTAATCCAATTTTTTTGTTTTTCGGTTATTAGTGTTATTTATTTTTTAAAATATATAGTTTGTGTTATATTCCTCTCCCATTAACGAATTCTTAAACCACCCTTTCATTCACACATTTCCGCTCATTTGATCCTCTTAAATTATATGTACTTTTCAAATTCTATGCAATTATTACGTAACCCACCTCATCAGTTTTTAATTCCATGATTCCTTCATTACTTCTAAAATTATCACACAATTTATCTTATCTGTCTCTGAACTCCTCGCAACTATTACACATCCATACTTAATGTTTCCTCGATTCTAACACCAAATAACCTCTGACCTGTTCTTGCATATATATAGTTATTATTGATAACCTTTGTCATTCGAATTATTTACAATAGAAACATAGCAATCTGGTATCAGTGCAGACAAATATTAACTGTTGATCTAAGTAATGTCGGGAGGTTCAGATTCTCCGTTTAGAAATTTTCCGATCATCCTGATCAGTGGTTAAAAACTACAGATGAGATGGATCAAAATTGATCTCAATGGTGTACAATTTATAACTTTCTAATCAACAGATGATAACATAAACGAGCAACATATTATTCATCAATCCACAGCAGTAGTTTATACAGTTTATATTTTCTGTAGTTAAATCGTCGTATAGATTAACTTTCACATTTCAATAGATCATGTATAATTAAAGTATCAATATTTTAAATTTAGCAAAAGTTACCCACTATTCAACGGAACAAAATAATTCCATCCTGAACTTCTGATTACTCAATGAAAAGTTTTGATATGTTTAGCTGATCTTTGAAAATACATTTTTATTGCACATGTAGTCAATAGTAATTCAATTGACTGAAAGTTATTTCAAGAATAAATCAATCAGATAACTAAATAATAATAATAATAATAGTGAAGAATAGAAGAAAAAGAACACAGTCGTCCTTATGGTACAATAACTATGAAATACTAACTAATATTACATATTAATTCAGATAAATAACAACAGATGACGTAACATCTTTCCTTTGCCCCCTCCCCACCAGTCATATACATAAAGTCAACAAAAATCAGATAGATAATTGAAACCAAAAAAAAAAAAAAAAACGGGAAATATTCAACACACTGTACAAATTATTGCAGATCACAAATAATGAATAATAAATTGTCATAAAATTACAAACCATACTTTTCAGAAACTTAAACAGACAATTGAAATAAGATATATTGTGAAGAGAATGAATTGAACGATTAATAATGATGTTAATTATGCTAAGTTGAATTACAACGTATACATAATAATAAATGATATGAAAGAACTTATGGGTCATTCTATACAATGATCGATCATATAAGGATTTAGAGAGTAAATAATAAAATAAGTTATAACAGAATAGATGAAATCATTTTGATCACAACTAATATAGACTATTATTTGTTAAATAAATGATAAGTTTAATTATACATAACAATACTATTAAATTTTTACCCAAGGAATCAGATCAAACGATTAGGTTGCAAACAGACCCCAAAGTTATTCATGATCACATGATCATATTGTTTAGTTCATAAGTTATCTATACGGTTTATACATGTCATAATATAGTCAAAGTAAGTTCTTTTCATAATAGGTAATATAAGAATATTAGTAAGTAATATATTATAATACACAATAGACAGAAACAAATAAGAGAATGACGGTGAAGAGAACAAGCAGAAAAAGAAAACAGATAACGAGACTGTATCTGAAGAATTAATCTATACACTAAATAAAAACAAAACTTTGAACAGATTTTAAATGTTCCTCCTGTATTACTAAACACATTTACACTGGATAAATTCTATATTTCTTGACGTAAACAAGAAGTAAGTATCTTTAAGAAAAACAATTTTTTCTAAGCAACTATTCTTCTTGTTAATAATAATATACATTTTAATTAAACACATAATTTATGTGAACGACATATTCGTCCACATTTTAATGGGCATAAATCTTTTTCATAAATAGCTTCCCAATGTGAATGATATGGTTGAAATAATTGACAAAGAAATGCTTCTAATACTGTATGTACAAATCTACGATTAAAACGTTCTTCTTGAAGCATATTAAATATACAAGATACACCACGACGAGTAGTTTCATTACCAAGAAATTGTGCAAATTCCTCTAGAAATTTATAATATTAATGAATTAGAAATAAAGTAGTAAAATGATTAAAAATGAAAATTATATTAAGTTACAAATCAATTGTAATTGAAATCTAACTAAATCAGTGGTTATTTATAATTGAGATGTAACTTCAATATTTTAAGTTCGATTATGTATGAAGTTGGGAATATTGTTATAACATGTGATCCGCCCATTAGAGAGCAGCCTATTATCGATCGAAACAGTGACGCAAAAAATACGACCGAGCAGCCTAGAGCTCTGATTGGTCCTGCTTCCCTGTCTAGCCCAGCCAATTGAGTCCAGAACACAAGTCTCAGCCTCGGAGATATGAATCGTTATATTTCAAACATACACTATTTATATACCAAACAAACAGACTACATCGTACCATAAATAGAAAGTAACATTTGTACAAGATTTAACCTTCAGGAAATGACACAAATAAATATTGACCAATAAGGAGATGACACGTTGGAAGAATGTTGACCAATGGGGAAACGACACTACTTCTCATTCAGGAATAGCATTAGATAATTTCTGGGGTATTTTCTGAATACCCCAACAAATATAAACACAACGGACTATTCAACGTACTCCAGTTTTTAATGATTCTTACGAATGATGCTGCTAGTGGATTTTGAAATTTTATGGAACAATTTAAAATGTGAAATTTAACACATGATAATGTATATTAGACAGGGTTGGATATTTATACCTGGAGGCTGATAAATAGAGGCGGTTTTTAATCATGAATAAGGTTATCACGAACTTTGTTAGAGGTGATGTATGGGCAATATCTACTTCTCGGTTGCATACACTGAGAAAGGATATTCTTTCTTGAAGTGCCTAGAAAGAAATTACATTGGTAGTAGTAGTGGTCCAAGTGACATGGGGGAGTGTGATCGAAGTACTCAATCTATATTGATTTAGAAAGAATCGGCAACAGATGGAAAAATAGATAACATAAAGGATATAAATAGGAAGAATATGAAAATATTTGAAGGTCCTCGTAGAATATTCGAAAACAAAAAATACTACAACCAACTTTTCAAAGAAATAACATTATCAGGGTAATTATAATAAAATAATATGTGAGTCAAGAACGGGACAATAAGAAGATAAACGTAAAGCGAATAAAAGTAGGAAAGGTTGGTGATTAAATGATGAAATAAAGTAAACACTAGTTGAAAACACCTCTTACGGAAACTAAAGCTAAGTCTTTTGAAGTTTATTCTGATGGCTTAAATTACCTAGATAAGTCGTAATCTCGCTTCTTTAAGTAGCCCGTTTTGGACTCGATAGAAGGTTGAGAAAGCTTCACCCATTTAACGTGATATTTGTTATCTATCAAATGAGAAAGGTTGGCTCTGTTAATAGATTTTGTAAATCGTTTACTTAAACTATGCTGGTAAATGTTTTAGAACACTCAAAGTTGAAACCTGAGTAGGGCTACGTAAATAACTACACAGGAGCAGGTGACTTAGTATACATACATGGAAAATCTAATCATTAATATTCTATCCCTGATTCGTTGTCTAGGTACAGGTTTTATTGATAGGGTCGCTGGTATGCTTTGATTTTGATTATTATAACTTTACAGCCTGATAATCAAGTTATAGAAAAAAACCGCTCATTTGTGGGGTATCAGAATTCGACCATCGCACGTCACAGCAATAATCATCATTGAATACTTGTCATTAAAACTTAGCAATACTTATCTATAAATTTATATAGAGTGGGTAAATATACGCTGTAATTGTAGCCTTTGCATTAGAATTACGACAAATATGGTCACCATCATAAACTAAGAACAATTTAGAGGTCTAAATTTATTAATGATGCTCCAAAATGTAGAACGTTCAGATACAGTCACTTAAACTAGATGGACATTTTGATGCGTAAGTTAGAAGGTTGAAAAAAGTAGAGAGGAATATTGACCGTACATTTACAACTATGTGAATACTCAGAACAAAAAGGGTACAGATATTTCACCTACCAGAAACACTTCCAAGTAGTACAGTTCTACAAAGAACACGAGTACGTAATTTCATCTCTTTGTCACGTTCTGTTAACGCTGTAGTATTTGATGACTTATTTTTGGGAGGCCAAAAATAATCACGTAAATAAATAATCAGTTGAGTGATTTTCGGTGCACTTGTCCATTCACAAGCCTTTTTTAAAACAACAAAAATATTGAGTAGTGAAAAAGATAAGCAACTTTGTTTCCCTTTATAATTTGACATAAAAATTATTCACGATATCAATATTCTTAAAACATGAATAATGGATAACAGTGGAATCCAAGACGCCTGTTTCATCCTACTTATAGCTCGTTAGCTGCATGTGTCGGCAGTTGAGTGCCGACAAAGGAATTACCCAAACCTATACTAATAATGATGCAATCAATTACTATGATTATTAATGGCTTTATTCAATATTGTACTTTTGGTAATATATAGAATTCTCAGTAGAAAGTATTTGAATAAGTCTCCTTTTCTTGTTTCTTGAGCCTCTATTTGTGTAAAGATCAGTTCAGCAGTCAAAGTACACGACATTTAATCACTGAGTTGTTTATTTGAGACTCATTCACTACTCTACATTGATTAAAACACTTATGAGGGTAATTTTTAACAAGACTCATATAAAGTAAAACATAAAGCAAAATGTTCGAATATGTACGCCCCCATATGCTCTAGTACCGCCAAGAGTGAGGAGAGTCAGCTCTGCTTCTTGAGATACTCTCACATGGCCACGCGTATATAGCCTCTCCCACTGAAGTCCTACTCACTGCATTCTCGCGGTATTACTGTTGCTTACGAAATTGAGAAAACGAAAAGAAAATGTCCGACACTTTAACCGGGTTGGTGGACACGGTGAGTCCTCCCAGGGGAGTTGGAAAACCCTCATTTCAAACCAATGGTGAACATGGGCTGGTTCCAGTATCCTGAAGGAACAAATGGTGTATGAACCAATCGTCGGTCACCGGCTACCATGGGACTGCATCTCCTTACGATGCTCTATTGCCCTGTGGGTCAAACGTTTAGGTCAAAGGCTCCGGGTGTTGCTCCCTAAGAAAACCACCTGCTTCGATATGGGCATCCGGGCAGTACCCCAGCGCTCACACAGATCAAATGAGATTTGTGTGGCGCATACATATTTGGTGCCTTCTTGTACCAATATTTATGTGTTCAAATAATAAAGAAATTGAGCTACAATAAAAATTTTATTGGATTAAATCTTACACTAACTACAAAGAGCCTATCTGCTGCAGTGTGCATTGTTTATCAGTATACACACGTAATAACAATATCTCATAGATAATTACTCATCCGCCTAAAATATAACAGCCATTGTGTGTATGTAATTCATATATAAGATATCTAAACAGCACGATCAAGATTAGCTCCAAAACGAGAACACATGCGTATGTCACAACTCACTTTAGCAATGATCATTTTATTGACTCGAATACCAAAAAATGTTTGGAATATTTTGCGTAAAATAGCGAAATTTCCTTGTCTAGTAAATTGACTTTCTCTATGTAAATCAAATATTTCATCGACTAATAAGAATAAAATTCGAATTGGTGTTTCATCTCGAACATTCTGTAAAGAGTATTAAAACAAAACAACCAAACAATAAAATCCCAAGAAGTTTAGTGAATGCAAATATGTGGAGTAAACATGAGTCAATGATACCGAAAAGGATATTTTTGTGAAAACGGAACTAAGTTAGGATGATTTATAGTCATAGATGTAGTAGACATAGGAATTAGATTTGAAACTTAATACAAATTGCACGACATATTGTTATAACAACAAAATGCAGACTTACATTTCTAATTCTACTATCACTTGATGAAGTACATGATATATATCACCATATAAGTAGACCAGTCGACATTAGAATCTAGTGTTTAACCAAACGTTTAAGAGCGAGATATATGTCAGAATAAGAGTATACGAACACACATAGTACGAAGTAGTCAAAAAGTGAACTGAGTGGAACAAAACTGGAATCAGCTTTATACATAAGTTATTCTATTACATTCAGTGTACTTGGAAATATTAGCCAGTCATAGTTTACTTCGATCAACACATAACATTTGACAAATTAAAATGGTTGATAAATTATTTTGAGAAAAAGTATTGAACTAGTTACCGTCATAATTCACTAATCTAATGTTGTGTAGTTGATCTAGGTTTACAAAACACAGCTATTCTAAATGATGGCTAATGTTGAAAAGGGGGGAAGGGAATATCAATCCTGAGACAGTCGCATTTACATTTTGGGGGCATTTCTTTTGAAATCTTATTGTTCACGTTTAGTCCACTTATTTTTCTTAAACACAGTTCCTACTTACGTTGTGTTAACTCATTGATTTAGTACAATTGAATTCTGGCTAGCAGTAAAATACAGGATATGTATTCTGTCCTATTTAGGACACATCAATTAAATCCCAATGTTCACACATGGACGTGAATGCAGTATCTTTCGTTTCAACGAAGACTCATCAAATACAGTTCTTAATACTAACTGTAATAATACTTAAACTCTTTATTACATATTTAACAGTTGACATTTTTCTATCTGATAAAGTCATGGCCTATTTTCGAACTTGCATTAATGTTGTGAATATGCTGTTAATCATTAATTTAAAAAACACAGATCAGGCATTATACTTATCGTTGAAAAATGTGATGTAAAAGTACAACGCCTCATTGTCAGACTTTCCTAAAGTGATTGTTCATTTAATTACTATTTTTATGATAGTACCGTATTTTTAGACAAGTCACCTTTTATTTTTTTTATATAGCTTAATATTCGAATTAGAATTCTTGTATAGATTCTACACGAATAACAGAATGTTACAACTAGGACAAGTGGGGACAGTTTAATTATGAATCAAACAGTCAGTTTATTTTATATAATTCTGTTCAATTTTCAATTGAGAAGAAAACATCACATTCGGTAGTTAATGTGCGGTACAGTTAATTGTATCACTTTCATTTATGTAACAATCAAGTTAAACACTTTGTGAATGAAAGGAAACTGAATACTAGTTGAGGAGACCAGTCACATAACTGTAGAATGGTAGACTAGAAATCTGATGACGATTTATAGTTCGAAACTTGCGGCGACACAACACATAACACAAACATCGATATATATATATATATATATATATATATATATATAGAGAGAGAGAGAGAGAGAGAGAGAGAGAAAAAAAAATTAGTATAGATAAACTTTACACTTACATAATCATATGAATCAGAATTCTTTGATGATTCTAATGACATATCCAATGATTCTTGTAATTCAAACTCACTGGATTTTTTTATCATTTCATCATTACGAGAAAGAATAGGTGAATTAGATGTTGGAAAATTTTTATTAGCAAAAATCTTATTTAAACCATCAGCTAATGTATCTGGAACAGACATCACAGCATTACTAACTGTACGAAAAGGTGTTAAAATTGCAGAAACCTATGATAAATAATGAAACAGAATTTATTTTATTGTATTACAGATAAAATGAGAAAATAATGTACATCTGAACATTGAAGGAAGTATACATACATGCTATTATTATCATTATCGTAGCTAGTCAGTTTGATTCTCTCTTAAGAAAATAACACAACACAATGATAACCTAGTAAAAGTTTGTGAATTAGATTTTTATATGTGATTACTAATAATAAAAACCGGCTGTTCAAACGAAAGATGATACTAAGTTGTACCTATAGATTAAGCAAACAAAACCGAAGTGTTTCAACTGCTGAGCTATTATTCCTGTTTTTAAAGTATTCATTCATTTCTGTTGGTATATATTATTTATCAGTATAGGGAAATGCCTAATGCTTCCTAGTCTGCAATGATTGTCTAAATAAGGTTCCTCTATGAAGTAAACTATAAGGTTATTGTGATGATTAGGAGTATTTGAATTATTGTACAAACTAGGAATTCCCGAAATAGCGCAATCTAAGTAGACAGAACTACGTGAGTACTAACGAACGTATTGTATTTGGAATTCGAAATCGAGTACAAAGGAATCATTAGTTCACACAAACACCACAGTTAGGTTTTAAGCCACTATCGTGCTACAGATGAAATATGGAAATGAGAATAGACACGAAGAAATACTGTTATATATATATATATATATAGCAGGCAAATTAATTACAATGAATTTTACGAACTTACAATACGTGCTTCAACATGACCTCTTTCCCAGCTGTCAGGCTGTAGAAATTCAACGCACAAAGGACGACTACCTGGATGATTATTCTGAAATTCGCTGCTACATAATGTCTATTAATAAATAAATAATAATGATAACAGCAGAAAATTAACAATATAGTGTTATATATTTTTTGACATTGCGTGACATTTTAGCTTCAATGTTCACAGTATCTTTACAAATAGCAGAGTTTTCTAATGTGAATCAGCTTATATTTTTGCTTACTCATTATCGAAATGGATAAATTTGAAAAATGAAAATGAGTACTTTGAACAAAATTATCCGACCAGACTATTGATAGTTTGTCATCTACTGCACAAACAGATGTCATGTACGTTTAACAACCGTCTACATGTGTTGGCTGGTGTAGTAGATTGGAAGAAAGTTAGAGGCGGTTAAATTAAAACCTAGCATCAGCCTATGAAATCAGTGAATTTTAGTCTAATACAAGTTAGTAGCTGTAGGCTACTCGGTTTGGATTCGCACTAATATCTTCACTAATTGTTGGAGACTACAAGTGAAATCGCTCAGAATCAGTCGGAATAGGGTGAATGCATCCACTTTTTGTCATTTCTTAAATCCTGAATTTCAAAATCATAGTAATTTATTATCTCCTTTCGACTCATAGTGCCTGTGTTGAAAATTTACCACTACTATTGATACTCTTATTAATTCTATTACTCTGACATTCGTTTTGATAATTTATGTCTATAAACAGTGGGGCAACTTAAACCGAAGAATATGCGTCAGGTTCTACTGTGCTTATGTCTAACATGAACTAGGCAAACAAGTATATCGGTTTAATATCCAACTGTGATATTAATAAAAGGTAATTCTATACAAAACTATTCAAGTAATAAATTAAGGATTATCTAACTTATCACAGCTTAATTGAAGAATAAATAATTGGAGTGGCTGGGGAGGTTGAAATCTAAATTTGGTGATGAAACAGATCTAGAAGTTGGAAATAAACATTTTAAGAGACATAAACAGTGGACGACTAACTGAATTGTATCTAAGGAAGTAAATTTGTCATTTTCTGGAACGAACAATGGGACGATTCTAATAGGTATACGATTAACTCACACCAATAAATACTCAGCCATTGACTACTCAATGAAATATCGATGCAACTCAAATCAAGGATATGTTATCCACCTAATTAGTAGTATATTATTGATCAACATGACAAATACAGTGAGTAGAAAAATATAAATGACAAATCAGATATCTGCCTGATCTTTCAAATTGTCTAGAAACAACAACCAATCACCGTTTACTTCTGCCTACCCAACACCGACATATTATTAGTAGATTTGGTACTTGAACGAATACCAACTAGCACGAAACCTAGGTCCAAGGTTTCCTGTTGACTACCAACAACCTCCATCCCACCACAAGTTTTCTTCATTATTATTCAGTTTTTATTATAATGAACTTTATGTTTGTAGTTTTTCTTCATATCTGTCAATTGGACAATCATCTGATCCGTAAATTATTATCATCCTTAGATTCTTTTCTTACCCCTTGATTATTGCGTAACCTCATTTGATAATAAGAGTTTCGAATCAATTTATGATGCGATCTTTTCTATCTTTCTATAGACATATATTTTCCATAGAAGTATAAATACGAATGCACAACTTAAGTAAATGACTTTGTGGAAAAGAAAATTTTCTTCTCTTTATTTTGATTGGCAAATATATCTTATTTATTTATTTGAACACATAAATATTGGTACAAGAAGGCACCAAATATGTATGCGCCACACAAATCTCATTTGATCTGTGTGAGCGCTGAGGTACTGCCCGGATGCCCATATCGAAGCAGGTGGTTTTCTTAGGGAGCAACACCCGGAGCCTTTGACCTAAACGTTTGACCCACAGGGCAATAGAGCATCGTAAGGAGATGCAGTCCCATGGTAGCCGGTGACCGACGATTGGTTCATACACCATTTGTTCCTTCAGGATACTGGAGCCAGCCCATGTTCACCATTGGTTTGAAATGAGGGTTTTCCAACTCCCCTGGGAGGACTCACCGTGTCCACCAACCCGGTTAAAGTGTCGGACATTCTCTTTTCGTTTTCTCGATTTCGTAAGCAACAGTAATACCGCAAGAATGCAGTGAGTAGGACTTCAGTGGGAGAGGCTATTTACGCATGGCTATGTGAGAGTATCTCAAGAAGCAGAGCTGACTCTCCCCACTCTTGGCCGTACCAGGGCGTTTGTGGGCGGCAAATATATCAAAAATATATAGAACCTCGAAGTACCGCGATAATTATGTTTGGTTCTCTTGATGAATCGATCTTTTGCATTTTACAAAGGGATAAAAATTAGTTCATAACGTATGTGTACTACATTACTAAGTTGGAATTGAAGTATTTCCATCTTTTATCTTACATATTTGAGTGGTCATGCATTATCGTAATACTGAATTTTATATTTGAATTTGAAAGATTGTTAAACTGTAATTAATGTATTTGATTTGCAATTCCAGTGAATTAGTTAAAATAAACCCAACTCATAACTCTTAACGGTTAAAATTTATTACGATTAAATAAAGCTAAACTTACATTCAAATAAACATTTAGTCCACGTCGACGTTGTGCTAAAAATTCAGGGCTCATGTTATTAAATGCAATTTTCGATGGCAATTTGAGTTCAGTGATACGACCACACTAAAAAAATTGATAAAATGTTATGGTAATAGTATGTATTTTCCTCACATAATGTTTAACAATGATATAGAGGACAATGTTTTATTAGGTGTACAGGCTCGTGTACTTAACTTTGAGTTATACTCAGAGTACGTAAGATATAATGATACCATTAATCGGTGACTTAAGCAGAAGTAGACGGAACAAGTCTCTGAAAATTAAAAAACTGAACCATTGCATTATCGCTCCATAAATCAAAGATAGAAATTTTAGTTTTTGTTATAACGCTCAATTTTCCAGGTTTACACGAATGAGACATTAATTTGCCTTAGACGAATATCTACACTAGAATCCATCCCATTGTCTACTCTGCATGACATCAGCACAACCTAGATGAAAAACGTGTGATTAACCTGACTAGAACGTAAATATAATCCCACACCCCAAAACTGACAACAATCACAGCAATTATAAGGGTAAGAGAATATATATCTCATCTCTAGTACCTGTCAGACAATCTACTAGTCTGACTAAACAAACAATCAATCATTATCATCTTCTCTCACATATCAGTTTGTAAATTTGAAAAGGAAAAATTCCAAGTGGCAACTTAGTTGTTAATCATTCGATTTTCAACCATTGGGTTTCAGATATAAACACGAAACATATACTTAATTTGATGCACAATATTCAGTCAGACTGACTGATTTTTCGATTACAACTTACTCTATTTGTAAGAAACGAGTGTAGTTCAACAAAATGTCTGAAACGACGTAAAGTATTCCAACATTCTGACTGACCATTAGATAGTACAGTACGTGTAACTTTTATAGTATAAATTACATAAGAATCATGCATTATTTCTAGAGTAAAAAAATGAATGCAAATAACTTTGTTAGTTTGATGTTTATTAAGTTCAATTGGTTTATGAATGTAAAATGTAATTTAATAAAAATATTCGGTAGAAATATGCTTTATTCATGATGATTGTAGGGATATAGATGAATACTTATTCAGTTAATTCTTTGATTTTAAAAATTAAGAGCCTTTGATTTACCTTCAAGGCTTCATGAACCATGTTCATTATTCTTTAGTTTTCCTATGTTTATTAGATTTAAATGTTATGATAACTTAATTCTTATTTAGCTCTTGATTAAATATATGTTAATCTTTATTGCATCTTGAATTTTGCGCAAAGATTCAACAATCAAAATCTTAAATATACATCTAAATGTAATAACTGAAGGGTTCAAACTGTAAATAAAGAGAACTCGAGTGCTGTTAAAAGCAGTTGTCACTACCAGGTTGCATACGTCATGGAAAGATGTTTTTTGAGATAGCCGAAAACAAAGTGGATTAGTAGTGGTCTTAGCAACTTGGGAATTTCACCACAATACACAAAGATAAACTCTTTAGGGCCGATCAAACGGAACTTTCATGGGTAGTTCATGATGTGTTAATCATGTACCTGTAAGTCTTAGTGACTATGACGAAAATCACTGGAGGAAGATAAGATGGACTATTTTTAAGGCTGACATTTTATGACCCTATCCTTTCGTTGTGAGGAAGGATGATCGCTACAGATGCTGGTTGTTTAGGGGAAACATCTTACTGCCGATACAGTCGGTAGCATGATTGAACCTAAGTTGCTGCTTTTGGCCTAACTGTTCTCTAACTAACTTGCCTGACATGATATGACTTAAATGAACATGTATTTCAGCCAATACAATTAAAGTAAGTCATAGCGATATGGCATCCCGATCACCAAATCCATGTAGCAGCTACAGTTAGTTATGGAATACTGTAGTATGAGGTTAATAATAATAATGATAACACAACTGAATCAACAGTTACGTACAAAGTCGTAAGGTATAATACTTAAGCAGCTAGTGAACAAACACTACGTATAACCAAGACAAAAACTACCATATACATGAAATTTCAGGCTTAAATAATATAGTATAGTCAATAGAAACATATAAATTACCTGCCCGACTTATGACAGCTGTGTAAGCATCATCAAAAACTCCACGTCCAGTATTATTTGTTGTTGAAACAATCTTTTTTTTTTCAAACAAAAAAAACAAAATGTAGCAGGAAAGTTAGCAAGTTTTACAAGAATTATGTTTAGTTTCTAGATAATGAAAATATATCAGAACTCATTAAAGTATAGTATTTTTTCTGTCAAAAAATCTCACCACCTTATATATCACAAATAATTGTTTCGCACACAAGCTAAACATATCAGATTTCGAGTTAACGCGCTTCAACGAATAGTCAAGTTAGCATCAGTTCAAAATGAAAACCACTGTACCATTTATTAATGCTATACAACCTGGCATAATGAATTTATTTGGAGATGGACAATATGAAATTTTTGACAGATTTAATCTGTAGCCTAGTTAATAAGAAAAAAAAAGAGAATACATCTATTCCTATGATATAGGATTATGGTTCCGCAGTATTGCCTTAAAGTGTTTCAGATTAAAATATGTAGAACACTGGATATTAAGAAAGTTGAAACTCGAAGACATTTTTCCGAATTATTATTTATATTTTTATTGTATAATTAGTAAATAACTATATTATACGTTTTATTATTCCCTAATTATTGCTTATTATATACTGTTCGTCGTTTTCTAGAAATCTCGTGAAAGTTCTTAACGAATGCTAATTGATCAATGTATTCTCAGTATTTTCCCAGTTTCTGAAGACGTTTTCAAGGAAGTATCAGGGGCTTCTGACATTGCTAACTAGTAAATCATGCAATCTAGTGAACACTTTTAAATGACACATAACACGATACTGAGAAAAGATAATATGAAATATAAGTCGATAACCAATTCCTTATCTATGTACTATATTACAAATGACAATGTGACACTCAATGATTAAATTCTTTTACTCAAGCTATCTGTCTAACAACTATACAGACAAACATTTAAAACAGGATTTCATAAACAATTAAAACCACTTGATACGGATTAACGAATAGCTGAATTTGAAGCAGAGACCAAGTTTAGAGTAATTACATTGCAAAGTGATTTATAAATTGAAAGCTTTTACAGCAACAAACTATACATATAAATCGACAAAACCACAGTCAACTTCATGCCTGACTTAATGAAGTAAAACTGAGAAATAATTAGTGGTCCAATGAATGATGAATTCTGTAGTTTGAATCCAGCGAATTATATCATTTTTTCATTTGAACCATGAAGAATACAATATGGTAAACAGATTGATTGAAACTGCATTTAGTTCTTTATTAAACATGATGCTCCGCAAATAAAACAACAATAGTGTTATGTTTGAAGAGATCACTCTAAATCGGTGAACGGGAGGAAGGATCAGCGACACAACGATAAGCTAAACTATTACAGTGCGTCCCAGCTCCACTAAATAGAGGGAGAAGTCCAGTTTCAGATAATGGAAAGTATAATCCACAAGTAGCCAAAAGCACGAACAACAACAAACACACAACTCAAGTGTATATATACAGCACAAAGTGTCCTAGGAAAAATACAAAATAACATATTGAAAGAAGCAACCAACCAATGACATGTAGGGTTCTATCAAGTGGGAAATACAATCTAGAGGAATAAAATGAGCGTTTTTGGTGAGACGAGAAATTCAAACTTCAAAAATAAAACGTTAACCAAGTGATTTCCGGTGATCTAGCATCCCTAGGAAATAGTTTTAAAGATCATTTTCATTATTAATTGACATCATAGAGGCTCAGCCATTAATAACCAAAAATCAATTAACAACTGTTAAGTTCTAAAGCTCAATATCCATTAGCACTGGGTAACTAATGAACACACAACAAGAGGAGTTAATCAAGTTGAAAGTACGTTGTTAACTAACCAACGACACCGGGATAAAAATCGTGACTAAATTTGGAAATGTAAACACTGAACTACGATACAGTGGTCTAATAAGGTCTAATCCGTAACAAGATCTGACAGTTGTTAATTTGATCGTATTCATAGATTCATGAGTGCTCTCACTGTCGAGAAGTTTCGAACTGGTACAAGATTATTATCCAATGACACCTAGTTCTTAATAGCTCTACAAAATCGATGGAAGCCCCCCTGTAACCCATTTAGTTATACAAAATGTCGTTGATATCATCCTGACCCTATGATTACGAAGTAATCAGATATTAGAAAAGCATATTAAATAAAATGTTGGTTGGTTATGAATAAAAGAAAAATCGAAATGTAATGAAACAAAACACATCAACGTACAGGAGATTCCGATAATCTTGGCAGCCCTGATTGTTTGGTTTCTGAAGGAAAAAAAGTCAGTAAATATTCGTCAAATGAATAATTCATATAGGTAAATTGTTTTGGGGAAAATATATAGTAATTCAACTGATAAACATAGTTATAATATTATTAGTACGTGAGATCGAGGAAGTTGTTGAATTTCATTGTTTACGTTACAAAGTGAACATTGAGAAACAAAACTATGTATCGCTCCAAAGAATAAAAGAAATACGGTAAAAACTTATTCATTAGAGAATAATGCCTCTACACTCTTTGAATATGAATGATAAATTTTCGATTGCTAGAATGAACTAAATGAATTCCGGTCAGTAAATTATATGGAATAATACGATATAGCTGAGTGATGGTTGCTCACGAGACTGTATATGAAATCAAAAACAAGACCACTAGTCTGAAAAATAAGTTTTTCATTCAGTAAACAAGCATGCTTGCACACAATTTATTGAGAGAAAAAACAGAAAGATTAAGTTCTATAGTTGATTAGAGAAACCGGCTACGTTGGTTCATAGCTCTTCAATCAACTAACTACTGATCATCATCTTAGATTGTTTGACTAAATCGAGTAGTTCATCCAGTGAGAATAAACGTAAGCCAAGATACGATATAGTTAATGAGATATTTATTGGGATTTGATGACAAAACTCTGTTTATCCAGAAGCTTTAATGAACATCTCTAATGAATCTATCTTGCGCAAAGTATAGAATTCAATGATGAGGGGACAGATAACCAAAATGTACAAATTTGTTTACTACTATATTACAATCCAGTGTATTAATACCCACTGGATTCATAAATATTAGATTGGTAAAAAAATGTCATGTTAATATACAATTCAATAGATTCAACAATATAACTTGGTTGCTATATGTTCAGATAAGAAAAAGTCGTAAATCAGGATTTCAGCGGTGTTGCATTATTGTAGGTAAATAGTTCAAACATAAGAATTATTGAAGAGAATCTAATACTATGAAACTAGTTAATACATTACAATATAGAATGACCCCCCCCCAGTATATTCTATTTCTTAACATAAGAAAAAACACTTGTAAAAATCGACCGACCATTGAAATATTACAAATGGCAGTACTTTTAATTGAATCTTTTTCGAGTTGAGAGATTATGATATGAGAAATTTTCACCATGACATTATCAATTTATCAGTAGTCAATTAAACACCTAACGTTCATAAATATGATAAACATCAGACAGATTCTTGAATAAATAGCATAATTTCATCTCTTTCTTGTTTAATAGTTGAATTCATTAGTCGATTTAAGCCAAATCAACATTGAAAACCTGGAAGCACTGGACTGCCGTTTCGTCTTAGTACGAGACTCCTCAAAAGTGGATGACCACGATTCCGAACCATGGACTCGAACCTAGGACCTTCAGCTTCGCGCGCAAATGCTTAACCCCTAGACAATTTAACCGACATCCGACGGAGTTAATGTCAGACTTCAACCGATCTACGATATCGCGCGACCGATCACCATTGTCTTCAGTGAGTAACTGCCTCATAACAGACACGACTTATTTATGAATACTCCATTTATCGAGAAAAATGTAAAATATTACCTTTAGAAGAGTCATTTTCCATACATTTCCAATCTGTACAATCCTCAACAGAATTCGCAGAACATGACATTTGAGATAAGAAAGAAACATTAGGAATGACAGAATCGCTTGGAACAGTCATTTTGTCAGGTTGAGATAATGATTGAGATTGACTTTGAGGTAGTATATCATTTGAAATAGAAGAGACGGATATAAAATTAGACGATGAAGATTGTTCTAATGGTTCCTTGAGTAAATCTAACTCAGCCAAAAGATGAATATACTGACTACTACGTTTAAATGCACCAAAACAATCGGGACCTGAGAGAATGTTAACAATCTGTTAGATGTAAAACATTTGGTTAGAAACCTTGAATGAAGCCGAATAAAGATAAAGTAATGTAAAAGAAAACATGTTTTGCCTCATTAGGAACTCATTAGCTAAACGAGGGAGTTCTCAGTTATTAAGGTGTATATAGTATATTTAAACGGCGCTTCAGAGAGTTTAGTTTGGATATTTGGGTAGTGTTCTATGATCCTTGATCTGACACCAATTTAGATGGACGTATCAATATGAGCATAAAACTGCCATTTAACTTCGTATATTGCATAGGCTAACCCCGATTGTGTGACGTGGTAATAAGAAGTCAAATACGGGTTACGTTGGATGGATTTATTTCAAGAGCTCGTTTATTCAAACAAACATTAAGAATGAAGAGCGGAGGCCAGTTTGTTGATTCCATTTGATAAAACATGGTTCAATACTTATACCCAGACAAAAATAAACTAGACATGTGATCAATAGGGTACGCGATACACACACATACGCTCATGTAAAAACAGTCAAGGTTAATAAGCTAACGATTAAGGTCAAAATGTGATTCAAGAACAATAAATAAATTGGTCCGTCCGGAAGCTACAATAACCCATGTGGGCTTGATATGATACTAGATACTACGACTGAGTTCATTTAAATACGAACGTATCCTGTGACGCATTCCATAGAATAAAATCTGACGATAACCCTCAACAATAAACGCAGTTGAGAAGGAACACACAAAGAAGGCGAGAGTGTAGGAAAACGTGGTACTCAAGCACGTACACTAAAACAGTACAACTTCACACATATAGTTATAAAAACAGAAACTTCGAACACAGAAAATTAGCAAACGAAAAGTAGTGACAATTAAGCAGAAGAGAGCAAAGATCATGAGAAGATTTGAGCTAGAAAGAAATATTGGCGGTTATTGTTATCAGTAATAGTCTAACGTTTATTAACGGAAATTGAATGACAATATGATTTCCTTAGAACATCTACAATGAAACTGTGAATGTCCCACCACATAATTTAGAAAACTGGATCACTATTGTCTCCTGGTCCTGTAGGACTCTAGATGCACCTGTCATCAAAACAATTCGTCAATACTTTCATTTTCTTTAATCTCTATGTAGAATGGTGACTCTATCACACAGTCAAATTGAGTTATAATATCTTTAACCGGCATCAGAATTAATACTTCCGAATGATAGAGCTGTAAAGCGAAACTTCCATCTGTCGTATAACGCTGCTGGAGGTTTGCTGATTGCCTTAGCCTTCGTCACTTATATTGAGTTGGATTGAATAAGTAACTATTTTGGAACGCATCTGAATAGTCTAGTTGGAACGTAAATAAAGGCGAATGTTCGTGATCAGTCATGATAGTTAGATAGATTTGAAGTCGGACGTAGTTTGCGAATTTCATCAAACGAAGCACACATACGAATTTGTAATTTTGTTGTTCATTAAAATATGAACCGATGGAATAATCGTATCAGATTTCATAGTGTAAATTGTATAGACTTCAGTAAACGAAGGTGGAGACGTCTTCAATGTTAGCACATTTCACTGTCTCCACTTGATGTATATGAAAAACATCGGACAGTAAAGATAAAATTAGCCTAGTGATATCAATTTGCGTAGATCGTATTTTTACTTAAATGTCATTGAAGAAGGTAGTCCTATATTTTTACTTTATCCTCAAATTGAAACAGATCACCTGTTTGATTCCAGATCTTACGCGAGAGACCACACTGAAGGATACCATTCGACAAAAGATCGAGGAATCTTTAGTTAGCGCGAACCCATACAGACTAGCTGCGAGCTAATGTTGACATATATTCCACAGGGGATTCGCAATTCGTATCACCTATTGTCAGCTATTGTTATCAATTAGCAAAAAAATTTAGAAGTTAGTCATTATCGGACGACTAAAATATTCAAATTTTTGGTATTAATATCCTTATCACTTACATGTGCCTCAATTTCAGTGAATGCATTGGGATTTAATGAATTCGGTTCACCAGTAAGTGCCTTTAGTGTACGTTGGATTAGTGGTTCAGCTGATAAAGGCATAAAGTGCAATAAATTACTGCATATTGTTATGCCAAATGCACGCAACTGTTCAATAGAATCATCAACAATCTCATCTTCTCCACTTTTTTCTAGTATATTTTTCTTAATATCTTCATTTATGACCATTGTGATTCGCTGTTCACCTTCATCTATAGATGTTGTTATTGAATCTGCTTTTTCAATTAGATCTTTCTCATTGTCACACAAACTAGATGCAACTTCAGTTTGTGTGCCTTCAAAATTAGGAGAATCTGAGACTGATAGAGATTCTTCATCGGTATTAATAATGTCAACTGGATTTGTAGGATTTAAGCATAAATCGTCAGTTATAATACTAGCTGCCATATCAGAAGAAATAGTCTCCATTCGAGAAGCTTCAGCAAGAGCCAAAACTGAAGGATCAATATTTTGATTAAGAGTTGCGTTAGGTATTAATTTACTGACGCCTTCACGGAAACTCTGAAAGAATAAAGAAAGATTATGTAATTTATGATGCAAATTACATATATATTAGATGTCTTATTATATAACTCTTTTTGTGAAAATCCGTACATTTTAATGTGTATTTTGAAATGATCCGATTATCCATTTATCGTTTTTTGATGGAGTTTTGTTCTATGAGCTGGATGGTTTGGTCGTGGAGCTTTCGTCGTTTGTGATGATGTTGTCGTTCAGAATAACGATGAAAGCTCCACGACCAAACCATCCAGCTCAGAGAACAAAACTTCATCAAAATCATCCACCTGAGCTACAAATCTTCTCGACCATCCATTTATCGTATTTAACGAGAACACCGTAAATACACATTTTTATAGGCATACGATATAATCTTGTGGTTCTATAACCGGTTGGATAAATGGACCTCTTACACAAATATTTATTCAAATTAAGTGACCTGTTATTTATTAAAGAGTGATAACAGACATATTCATCTACACTAAATATGTTATATTGTAAAATTCACTCGATTTACAGAATACCTACTAGCTGTGTCAACAATTTTTTGTTCCAGTCTGTTTTTTTCACAATAGAACGTCGGATAGTTGATTAGACTGTTTCACTCAATTAAGTGTCAAAATCTAGTTTCTAATGTTAGCAGTATGAATAATCCAATTATTTTCCCGTTGAAACACATATCTGTATGAAAAATAATAAGTAATCAGTCGTTAATTATTCACCATAATAGGCATCTTGGAGCAACTTTTTTTAATTGTATTAAAATGCAACTCTATGATTAAGTACGTATTTCTGTATTCGGCACTAGACCACACTTTATGTGTAAACGTTTATGAAATAACTATACGAACAAGCCGAAATAGATGCAACGGAGTTTCAACCTGCAATAAAATGATTGACAGTGGGATGCTTAACCAACTACCTACTATTGTTCATTAAATTGTATCATAGTCAACGTAATAAAACAATTTTATGATACGAAAATTAGTTTGATTAACCGAAAGAAATCATCATGAAGTTTTATGCCTAAGTAAAACCATTCTTTGTGAGGACATGGGGGTATGAATTTGTTTTGGTAACATACGTCAATAAACAACCTTTTCCAAATATAAAATGTTCCAAAAAATTTATCTATATTTCTGAAGTGTAGCCATTCAGCAAAGACAAACAGCCTTTTATAAGAAGTGCATAGAGAACATATTATGTTGTGAATTTATATTATTATCGATCTCTACCTCGTACTTCATTGTGTGAAAACTCCTTGTAATTGTGTCAACAAATTGTTGTCTAGTTTAATTTCGTTCTCGAGCGTGTTAGTTGGAGACTGTGTATATGTATGTCCTATCTATAATTGTGAATAGATAATCTAGTAACCAGGATTGTCAGCCCGTATTCTCGAATTATCGTATTATATATTGTTAAGTCGTTTTTACATTATCTGTCCTTATTCACTTCCTTTACTCTTTTGTATACTGTTTTATACTACTTATTAATATTCAGTAAATGTTGTAACGCAAGTTTGTTGTGTAATATTCTGAAATATTCACATACATTTATAACATTTATTGTAGTTATCATCATAATTAGTTTATCTCAATCATTGTAGTAGTTATTTACAATTTCGTGTATTTGTTTAACCCTTGTTTAAACGCAACGGCTTCCATATTTTTCTCTCTTGGTTCGGTTTTTGCTTGTTGATAAACCGTTACCAACTTAGGCACAACTAACAGCTGTCTTATGCACTACCGTATGTTGTAATTACTCTTTATGTTACTATTACGAGAAGCCGCTTTTGTTTCAGACAATAGGACGCGGCAAACGCCGTAGACACCTCACACGTTGAAGTTTGTAACAAATTTTTGTACATTATTCAATAAAGAACCGCTATTTTAGACAAATCGTTGCTTCGTGAACTTCGATTTTGCGCGAATCTCAATTGAGTGATTTGGACGCTTCTATAGACATAACATATATATAGGTTTTAAATTGAATAAAAATGTATTAATAAGAGCTTGCTTACCACACAATTTAAATACAATCGAAGTAATGAATGTTTATTAATGGAAGCCAGAAAATCTGAATTTACAGAAAGAAGCGGTCAACAAACAAATAGGTAATAACAACAGAATGATAAACAACTCCAAGAAAAACATCCGATATATATATATATATATATATATATATATATATATTAAGGACTTATCCATAGTATCAGAATTTAGAGTTTTAGTCAGTGAAGCTTAAGGTTTAAATTAACATAAAACTCGAACACTAACAAACATTAACATGTAATATGAAGCACAGTTTCTACTGAAAAGTGATAATATTTATGAAGCTTGAATTGTTAACGCTGGTTCCACGGGCTACTGAAGTCAATCGAAGAATGTATAGCAAATATATTAAACACGAAAAAGGAGCTGATGTGGAGTTGGGTAGGGTGAAGTTGAGTGTTGAAAGTTACAGACCCCAGAGCTTCAGTCATATTAATTTTACAAAGGCTAAAAATGCAAGTTTGTTTTAAACATTTTGAGTTACGATTTGATTAAAGAGATCTGGGTAGTTCAAGTGAACGAATAGAATACAGATCGATAGAATAAAGCGATGTTACCGACAGTGGGTTGTTGAATTAATCATGCCCGCTCATTAGAAACTATATTAAAGACAAGACTACCAGCTATAAGAATAGATTCTCTAGAATAACATGCTTATCTACAAAATCTTATCACAGAAATAAATATGATTAAATGACGCCAACGATTGGGTGATATTAATTTTGTACATCCTTTACTCTTCGATGAAATAAAAGATGAATAGTAAGCTTAATTCTTGCCCATCACACCATCAACAGACAGACCTAATTCATGGCAGCAATTAAGTTTAGCACAGTCACAATACATTATTTCCTATGAAACTGGATGATAATTTCGCAGTACTACTTCAATACGTTTGAACATAAAATATGGAGAATACAGAATTCCAACTTGGTGGATAAGAATCATAGGTTCTGCTAAAGACTGGAAATATGAACAGGTATATACATTAACCAAGAGTGTGAAACAATGATACACACATACAGTGTTCTTGTTCGTAGTACCGCAAAACTGTCTGTTTCCTGCATTTGCGCATTAACTTTCACCACTTAAAATTTCTTCCGTTTCTGTTGCGGTTAGAAACTATTTTTTACCATTACACATTGGTTACTCGTTGACAACTTTAAGTTTTTGCCTAGGCAAGTTACGAAACTACTGGTTCACACATAGAAGTTTCATAAATCCACAATATTCTAGCATATGCTTTTATTGGTGATTAATGTTCACTTAAAACAAAATACCAGTAGTTGAATAATTAAATAAAAACGTTTAGAAATCTACGGTTATTTTCACCATAACTGTAATAAAAAAATATAGACAGACAGACATCATCAACATGGAGCCTGGTACAGATATGCTTTGTCTCAAGTTAGCATACCAGATTAGCACGACATGAAAATAAAAAAAGTGATCGAAATAATATAGTAGCAATGACAAACTAAACTTTTGAAAAATAGGTATTGATACTAAGGTTGAAATTGAAAACTTCAAATAAATTGAGCGTTAGGTGGAGAGTTAATAATAAATATATTTTTTGCTATATCCCAATGAGTAGAAAATTTGTATTCCGGTTATTTATTTACACTGAAGAAGTGGCTTACATAAAATCACGGAATGTCAGAAATGCAATTTTTCCACACATTGAAATACAACAAAAATTTATTTATTATTTTGTAATATAGTTTGAAAAGGTAGAATGGAAATGTACGTACGAAAGGGTACTGGAAGTTAAAGAATGGAAGCATCTGATCTATTGTGAACAATTCTACGCCACGTCACACAGTCTTCAATCGCTGACTGTGGTTATCACGTGGATCTTAACTATTTAGTCTGTATTTAGCAACATAGCTCAGACTAGCAGATAATGACTTTACGAACTGAAACCACGTCAAAGTATAACCACCTCTAGCTTTCTTTTGAACTACTACTTGCACTAGCAAGCATTGGTCGTAGAGGTAAGTAGAGGTTAAGTATGCGTAATACATGTCCCAACTACCTCAGTCGGTGGATATTTACGATCTTGTTAACTGACTAGCCACCTCTGCTAAGCATTCAATGGCCCAAAACCTAAAAATTGCTTATTCAGTCGTTCCACGAAACACGAAAAATGCTTCGAGGACATCTGTGATCAGAAACCTTAAGATTACGCATGCCTTCTATTTTCATAGACCATGTCTTATAGCCGTAAAGTAAAACAGAGCGGACTGCTGTGCAGTATACATACCAATTAGTTGGAAGATGGACGTCTCAATTACGCCGTAAGTGAGGTAAGTTGAAAATCGTTAACTGGGTTTTCTGAATCCGTGCCGAGACTTGGTAGTCAAAGTAAAAAATATGGCACAGATATTCCCATATTATAGGTATAAGTAGATGAACTCTAGCAATATGACAGTATACAATCCAAAAGAATAAAGAGAATCATAATACAGAAAGTACACTTACCTAAAAAACTAACAACTGCAACACTTTTAGTCATTAATTCTTGAAATGACATATCATAAATTCGTGCATCCGGTTGTAAATGATAAGCTAATACACGTCCGGGCTATAAAAAGAACATGGGAGGGGTTGAAAGAAAAATATTTGATAAAGGAGGAATACGTAGATAATACAATACAGAACAGTAAAAGCTTACTTTTTCAGCTACACCTTCTTGAATTTGTCTTCGACGAATTAAACATATTTTTCTGACATAATCGAGACTTCCAAGTTGCGCTTTAATAAGAGCATCTAAAAAATCAATAAGAAGTTTACTGTTTATTTATTAAAATAAGCAAATTAATGAAAATAACATAAAAAAAATTTTACTGATTGAATATTACTACTGAGATGAACAAGCTGTTTAACTACAAGGTAAATGAAAGAACTTGAAAACTCATATCAAAAGAAAAGCATTTTTCGTGGTGTTATTTTCTCTGAGTTAGATAGTTGTAGAATTAAGAATGTCGTATTTGACTATTTCATCGCCTTTTCAAAATAGAGGGATTTTTTAAAAGTAAAAAGAACGAAGGTGTATATTTCGAGTTTGAACCATGTTGGTGAATACGAAAGTATCACTTAGAGGATTTGAAAAGTCATGATTTAAAACCACTAGTATGTGTGGATTTCAGGAATCTGCAGAAACGAACGGTATAAGAATCCATTTTGGTGACCAGCTATCATAAGTTTGCAGCTTCTGACGTCGCTCCACTTCTCTGCAGCACTAATCAACTAGATTCCAGTTAATGGTTGTTTGTGTGATAATACGTTAGGATACTGTTACAAAGCGAGAGGTTGGAGTGGGAAACGATGTACTTTTGTATGTGCTTAATAATCATCAGAAAAAAAGCGATTGTTGAAAGGAATCTACGTACTTTCAGAGACAATTGTACAGTACCCGTCATACACTACAAACTATGGAAGACTCCCGAACAGAAGATTGGTTTAAGTTCGGGTTGCGAATGCATCTATTGAATCTTCCAACGCCGTCAAACGCTAGAACACCTTCGAAATCAATGTTAAGCTCAGTTACATTCTCTATTCCTATTTTTGAACTTCACTACTTTTCGTGTATCATTCCACACTATTTATGAGTAGTCAGTAACACGTTTCATTTCTAATAACTTACGAGGATATAATGTAACATATATATGTTGTCAAATAAAGATCTTGAGTACTTATATAAGCTGATGATATTCAATTTATATCTTTTATGGTAACCGTATCTTCTGAATAGTTGCGACAGGCAGTTTCAATTATAGTGTGTTTGTTGAAAGCTTGTTTTATTGCAACAGTTGCCATACTATGATGTCCTTCGTCATGATTTTGACATCATCTGTCATTGTAATTTCGACATAACTATTAACAATTCAATATTGTATATTATTATAAACAACTCTATATATCTAAATAAGGAAACATTATTTTTCCATGTACATGAAATTCGGGATTTTTTATTAGAGGAAGATATCACAGAAGTATATTAACATGTTCAAGGACCTGCAAAAAGAACAGCTCAGATAGTGAAAAAATTTTGATAAATCCTCATGTTACGAAAGATAGCTATATAGGACTGGAATCTGTTGATCACCCACAATTCTCCTGTTGTAGTCCTATAGATAGTGCAACTCACAGGCTTAAAACGGTATCAAACATGGCTCAGAATAGAAGGCAGTGGTAACTATGGTGTAGTTTTTAATTACATTCTATAACAATAGTAAAATAGTTTACCCCAAATGGAATTAAAAATTTTTAGTTTTGTCCTTAAATAAACTATTTTCATACATTTATTTCTCGATTGTAAATCTCATCCATATTCCGTATTGGACAATATAATCATTTAATTTGAGTAGAGCATGTTTTTAGTAATTTACCAAAACTGTAGTGCATTCATTTAAAAACAAGAAAGGTTGGTTCAACGGAAATTCCTCTTCTTGGCAAATCCATTTTGAAGCTGTACAATCGCTGAACCAATTTTTCTTGCTTCTAAGTCTTGATTGATGTAGTTCATTTATTTATTTAAAATCTAGACAACGTGAAACAAATATGTAGAGAAACTAAAATAAATCTGTTTACCATCATCACCACCAGTGTCATGACCCCGAAGTTTATCCATGAAACTATTTAGCTGATGGATGACAACATCAATCTCTTCAGTGCTTTCAGACATGCGTAGTGCTTGGCAGAAATACTCACTCGTATAGGCACTATCTGATGCCTATTTAGGAAAAAAAGTTGAAATCAAAGCATAAAATGTAGGTATTATGGGATCAGACGTACAAAACTGGACAGACAAAAAACGTTTTTTTACTAGTTAGGAGAGCAAAACGCCTCCCGATAGTCGAATGACTAGAAATAAAGCCTGCATTTTTAAATCTTTACCTGAGTCCAAATAGCGAAAGGCGCTATAAACTTCATAGTACTTTAGAGCTGTAACAACACGCCTTATGAAAATCAATAATGGACATTCGAAAGTTACCAAACAAGATGAAGGAAACCACATATTACACTTAAGTAGGTACAAGAAATATAAGGTTTGAAGTATACTAACGTATCGTACATACCTTAAATATCATGCAACACAAATATTTTATCAGACAGGTTTATAATAGTCGAAATTCTACATAGATTCGTTTTGCGAACACACTGACGACAGCTCCGACGTTGAAAAAAAAACGAGTTTTATAGAAGGTCCAATAAGCTTAAAACAGTTAAGCTCTCTGACAGATCAATCATAGAATGGATGCCAAGACTATAACTTATGGACGGACAAATGAGATTTACAATAACAGGTCTTGGGTTTCAGTGCGAAATCCATTTAGCTCGATAGCATTTTGGCATTTAAGCTGATGTCAGTTCTGGATGAAAACCCTAAGTCTAATTCTTAACCCTAACCATCAACTGTAAATCATACTCTTACTACCCCACATTGGTTTATAACCCTCACTCAGCCCTAGTAAGTAGGTGAACGTTCTCAAGATCACTTTGGTGTCGTTCAAGGGTCGTCCACAAATTATAGTCTCACTGAATGGGGTTTTCACGTCCAAGTAGAAAACGAAAACCAAGTTAAGCGACAATTGGACGAGTTCATCAGTGAGGACCCAAGAAATGGATAGAAGTGACTATCTGTTCCAACTATCGGATACAGTATTCTCTACAAATGTGGAATGTTACTTCAGGATTGGAAGTGTAGTTGAACGCATCTGCCGCTTCACTTAGCTATGAAGCGGTTGGGTTAGAAAGAGTACTAGATAAATGCGGTAAATCCATCGGTGAAGTAGTCAATTTTCATCAGCTTATGTGGTTGGGATATGTGTTACGTATACCTAGCCACCGCCTATTTCGACGGGTGAAGTTTCCTGGTGCAAGGTTGGCTGGAAGAAGGTTAGAGGCGGTCAAGCCAAAACACTGCATCAGTCTGTGAAGTCACTGACAACTGGATTGAGCTACGTTAATAGGTACAGACTATTTGGTTGGGGTTCACGAGATTGTCGTAACCAATGATTAGACTTTGAACGATATGGCTCGAAATCGCTTGCAATGGCTCAGGTGCATCCATTCTTTGTCTTTCCTAAATCCTCATGACTTTGTGTTTTCATTACTTACATTTCCTTTTCGTGAATTCCTATTACCACTGATATTGTTACTACTATAGTGACGTATATACAGAGATTTTTGTAACGACAAAATAAAAACCGCATTTTCTCTCTAATTTGTCACACTTTTTATTCGATATTTCTTTTGTTTTTTCTGTATCACTTGTTAAAAAACGATGATAATTGTTTTGATAAAGGAATATACGAATTTACTACCACGCTGGTTCAAATATAGTACGCTATCTACGCCGTCTGTTCTGCTTTATTGGCCACGGCCTTTGATTGAAGACTATAATAGTGTTATAACATAACTTTAGGCCTTCCTACACTACGTTGGACTTTTGGCCCGGATTATTATTATATAATACTATTGTACTTTGTCTTTCTCATCACGCCGTCGTTGCCATAACTTGCAGGGGAATCTACGTTAATCAAGTAAACTTATTTGTAACGTTCCTTCCATAATAACTGTTATTATCTTGTTGCTCAATATACCATTTGTATTCTAACTGTAATTTGTTACCCTTGGTTTTTACTCATAGACAGACACCTAGGGTTTTTACTGTCAACTCTTCTGGTATATTATTAATGACCTAGTGTATTGATATATCTCGTATAAGCTCTTTTGCTGGGAACCACCACACTACCTCTACTATTTTGAGATTTGATCTGACTTCACTTCTCTGTGCTAATCGGGTATCGTAACTTGGACTGATGTGGATGACTACAGGTTCTATGTTGTGATTGAATAACCATACACAAATAACCATTTATTTCTACAAAATAAAAATTGAAATCATAAGGAAAGATAATTTCCGACGATCCCCAACATCGACTCAATAAAGACATCGTCTTTAAGACTCCAATGCACATGTTCTCACACCATCCTGAAGTGTAAACATGCTTTTGTTTGTAACTTACTGGGCCCATAAGTCACAGAAGGAAGACACAATCTTTCTTCTATATATTACCACCACTGAATTAACTACTCCTATGAATCCGGTGTTCATCTTGTTGTGCTAATGCGGTATGGCAACTTGGACCGATGCATATACGTGCCTGGTCCTACGTTGCAGCTGACTGACTGACTGACTGAGAAGGAAGACCCCTTAGAACTAATCCTGAAAAAATGGTCAGAAGTACAGTTTACGAACAATAAACTAAGCACTTAATCGACCGTGTGGGTTAAGTTTATTCTGAGAGGCTTGATGTGATATCTAAACAGTTGTAACAACAGCACTGTTGTCTACTTGTGACTCAAACTAGAAGCTTAGGGAAGATCAATGGGTTTCGAGGGTTTCAAATAAATTGACAGTTTCTCGAAATCTCATACTAACCGGCAGCAAAACACGAGGATGAAAGACAGTTTGAATGTAGACTGACAAGTATTTTAAGCAATGATACCCAGTAGTGGTGGGAAACAAAAGCTACATAGGTGGAAGGGTAACGCCAATATATCACACTAAATTACTGTTCCAAATCATCGAGGATACGTTTAGTAGAATTCAGCTATGAGCTAGACTATTTCGGAACCATAGTTCACTCATTCCATGAGGTCAGGTTGATTAGCAGAACACTTAATAACAGTTCAACCAGCTGCCAGCTATCCACAATCTTCAAACAGTATAGATGGAAAATTGGCGCAAGTCCCATAACTAAGTTAGATCGAGGCCATTTCCAATCCGAAGTGAGGAAGAGTGGCAAAACTAGATAGGTTGGTTCTGGAAGTCTCTAGGAATGATTATACAGTCTTACATGTTAAGTTGACTGTTATATCAGTTGGAGCGCGGTCTATGAAATTGGGAGATGCGTGAAGGTTGGAGACCCTTAATCTGTAATCTGAATGAATTGCTTGCATACCGTGAGACAACAGGGTGAGCAACGGTGCAGTTAGCAACAGGGTACCACGCAACAAGGACGAACTGGCTGATCGGTTAGTGAGTCTTCATAGACTTACATGGTTGAAACATGTATTAAACGTATCTAACTAACACTTACCTTAACATATAATGTTGGGGAGATTGGAAATAGTTGGAAAAAAATGACGATGGACAAATCTGCCTATTTTATTTAACTCAAACTAAGACTACATAGATCTGATACGAAGGATATATTAACAGAGAGAATGAAAAACATAAACAAACTAAACCACTAATTACTAACAAAACGCATAGAAAACTGCACTCACAAACCAAGCTATGGTTCTGTTAACGAAATCAGGATCCGATAACAAATTGATTATTGGCATAAGGACAGAATTAACCAGCAATTCCTACAACATTAGAAAAGTAAGTACATTACCCGGGTAATATATCGTATACCAGGCACACCATATTCCTCAGCAGGGGTAACAAAGAATAAAAACATATCACTCAGCAAACGAAGATGGTCTATTGGAAAGTTAGAGCTATCCTTATACTAGCCTTTTTCCCGATCTTCAGAATTACAGATTTCTTCGTGACATACACTTTTCTCCGTCTCAGCCTCAACATCAAAAAATAATTTCGCAGAATCTTCAATTTTACTAGGTAATACGACAAATACCTCTGTCGGGATATGTGGCCTTTCTGTCCAGCATATTTCGGTAGACACGAACATGGGCAGACATGAAAGAAGGAAGCGTTTCAGTAAGAAAAGGCACCCAATCCACATCGGAAACTCTAGTGAAATTACTAACTACTGCGGTGTTTACCTTCTAACCACATTCGCAACAACCCGTAGAAGAAGCTTATGGAGCTCCATTGGAAATGAATCGTCCGGAGTGAGAGAGTTGTACCAAGGAGTTATGTAGTCTCTGATAATGTAGCTTACAATCTGCGGTGATAGAAACATTCACAAAACTACCTGGTTAAGCACGTAATCTAGGTCCTGATGAGGAGATACACGTATATTCGGTCTTGTGACACCCTCAGCATCCATGATAGCCGTCACCTTTGGAATCCCTTTGGAGAATAAAAGATCTCTTTTGCGAAAATGCACAACAGGCTGTTCCTTCATTAAGAAGAAACTAGCAACAAGTTGAAAATATCAAAACGAATGTGTAATACCCAGCAGCGAAAGAAAGAATCGCAATGACGACATAAAATATAAATGTGAAGCCATGGTGCAGTAGAAAACAGATAACTGCTATACCGAGAACAACATTGAACCTCAGCATAACTAGGACCGTAACGCAAATAATCAAAACTTCGGGAAAATGTACAGTAAGAATGTAAACAGTTTAATATTCAAATGGATAAAACAGTTATGAACGTAATTACATAAGCTTTCACTTAACGGGATTACGTATCTAGTATAAATTGATCTTCGGTGTCTTCTAATAGGAAACTTGGTAATATTTAATGAGCAAAAGAGGAAATATTGATAAATTAAGGCGAGATGCTGCCCTGAGCACTTGAGAAAATGTTGCGTTTTCCCTTGAAAAACTCTTGGAAAATCGCTCGCACCTTTTTGGTCGGCAGGGAATTCCAGTAGTTGACAACTCGTATTGAGTAGGTGTGTCTATAGTCTATCCTACATTGTGTTCTTTTTGTTTATTAGTACTTGTGGAAGAGCTGTATATTCCTCTGATCAGCTACTTAATATTATTCGCGCCGAAGCTAAATTAGCTAGACTTCTAGGAGTCAGTCGTTAAAGGACTAGTCAGCTTTAAGCGATTTGAGCAAATATGATCATCATACCGCCTGATTAGTGCCTCTTATTAGGCCTAAAAGCTATCCTCCTTCGTATATTCATTTTCTCATCCGTAATGTCAGGAGTGTCAGGTTTCAATTGGAACCGTGATCAGAAACCGGGTGTGGTATTTCTAGTACCTCTGTATCATCTCAGATTTTTGGGTTTCTGGACCTGTGAGAGGTCGGTGTGTTCCTATAATGAGAAAAATCGTTCCACTCACATTGGAGCAACATCAGCATGTTTCTGTCAGCTTGATTAGTGCAGTGTTTGTAAATGCATATCGCCAACCCACATCCCACCCTACAATTTCATGTTCTGACTGTAGAACTAAGTATTTTTAGACACAAGCGGATGATCTGTGTCGCAATTGAATGATCCTCCTAATCAAACATAGATCTGGAATTAATTACTTGCCCTAGTTACCATTTGTTAAAGAGCATGGGGCGTCCACCAGCACCTTACATCCAACCATATCCTAGACAATCTCTTCCAGTTGTGTCCAGTCACGATTAATCATTTTCATATCTGCTGCGCAGTGTGTTTTTCGACCTTCCTCTTTTACGTCTCCCTTCAGGATTCCAAGTTAGCACTTGTCTCGTGATGCAGTTTGGTGATTTCCTCATTATTTGTCCTATCCACTTTCAACGTCTTTTCCTAATTTCCTCTTCACGTAGAAGATGGTTTGCTTTCTCTCACAGTAGGTTGGTGCTGATGGAATCTTATCAGCGGACAATAAGTATCTTGAATGTATAGTTGTTTATAAACACTTGTACCTTCTTGATGATGGTTGTAGTAAATCTCCACGTTTCAGTTCCGTACAGTAAAACTATTTTGACGTTCTTATTGAGGATTTTGACCTCTATAGTAGTTCTATATGATCTTCAACTGTAGCATCTAGAGCACTGTATGAATATAGTAAATGAGAAAGTGTCACACAAACGTGTTTTCCATAAAATTAAACCACAGAAAATAGCGGGCTTTTGGCAACACTGGATTTCTCTAACCTACCAATAATTATTCATGAATGAAGATGTTTCCACATTTCCTTGGTTGGATTTGATCATTTCGTGACGTCGATAGACGGTCGGAGATTATCCGGATTTTCTGTCATTAACCTTTTATATACTTCATTTTTCTGAATATGTATGAAACATGAGGAAGTAGCCCTTAATTTTCGAGAAGATTGAATTTATCTCGACATTTTTTGGAAACTTTAAATATACCTGACACACTATCCGGGTTGGAATAAACCTCACATTCGTTCTCAATTTTAGCCTTTTATATGTCAACCAAACAAAGGGAAATGAGAATCATCCTTTACACTATTGTGCCTCAAGATAGAGACCATTTCGTTCTCTATCGTCTTTTTGGCTCATATGAAACGCTTAAAGTTTTCTACGACAAAAATATCACTTGTTCGTGCTACGGAAGTGTCAAGTGTAGCGCAGTCATCTACAAAGAACAAACAGTTACACCTTAGCAGAAGTCATACCTACAATTAATTCTATGATAGAAATTGTTCCGAAATTTATACAATCGCCTGACTAGATAAACGAAAACAACCATAATCACTTATTATGATACATTTCGATGACTTGAAAACATAGAGTTTATCCACAGTCTGCTATTCATTATTATTAATTACTCAATGCACTAGTTGATACTTCCGAGAGCCGTAACAGTATTGATTTGGAGAAGAGATCGCATATCACGATCAACCAACAGAACTATATTTGCTGGAACACTTGTTATTTAAAATGGTAGCGTGTCAAATCGGTTAGTAAAACTAAAAGCATAGTTGAAGGTCCAAGGGTGAATGTATGCCGCTCTTAGAACAAAGTAATAATAGTATTAAAGTTTCTCTCAGATGACCAACATCTTAGACAGTATTTTTACCCCAACCATACCGACCCCAAGCGACGGGGTCTTTAGAATCTTATAACTTAATCGCCAAAGACTTATCATGAAAATGCAGCTTGGTGGGGCTCAAGAACTTGTTTATTCAGATCGGAATCACAATTTCAGGTTGCCAGGACCACTACTGATTCATTTTCTCTTTCATGTCCCTCAAGAAAAATCCCTATAGCGTATGGGAGACTAGGAATCGTATACATACCCCATATATCTACAACGTATGAGACCACCAAATTGACAAGAGAAGAGCATCTTAATCAACGAAAGGCACTTCAACGTCGACCACCCACACTTGTTTTATGTTTTCGAATTTTATGCTCTACTAAACTTAACGATTGAAGTTTACAATATGCTATCTTAAGTCTCTTGAATCAGTACTGAAAAATAAATGTTGAAAACCAATATTTTAGAAGTGTATGTCAAAAAACTGTAGGAGTTATTAGTTCAAACCCTAAAATCTCATTAAATCAACGTGAACAGCATCTATAATACATCCATAAAGAATATTCGACAACTGGTCGAAGTTCGGAGGCACGAAAAGATCAGGTGATGCGCGTAAAGGCTGCAATGAAGAGGCATTCACTACTGGTTTTCAGATCGAAATTGAGTTTCAGTACCTCCTCAAACGTATCAACCTTTATGAAACAAATTGGAAACATATAGACATAACACTTATCAATACTGATAAACTGTATCGACTTTTTCAAGCGTGTTTTCGTATGACAACTTGAGGGAAGGTCTGTACCAGAGATTGTGAATTCCTTATCGGTTGGATTGGTGAATACGTGAATGTAATGAAAGATGCAAAAATTATACTCCGAAACTACTTATCAGAGATAACATTAGGCAGGTCATAATATTCGGAGTTTGAGAAAGTCCTTAATCATAACACATTCAGTTTCTAACTACACCGTTGCTCACCCTGTTGTCTCACGGTATGCAAGCAATTCATTCAGATTACAGATTAAGGGTCTCCAACCTTCACGCATCTCCCAATTTCATAGACCGCGCTCCAACTGATATAACAGTCAACTTAACATGTAAGACTGTATAATCATTCCTAGAGACTTCCAGAACCAACCTATCTAGTTTTGCCACTCTTCCTCACTTCGGATTGGAAATGGCCTCGATCTAACTTAGTTATGGGACTTGCGCCAATTTTCCATCTATACTGTTTGAAGATTGTGGATAGCTGGCAGCTGGTTGAACTGTTATTAAGTGTTCTGCTAATCAACCTGACCTCATGGAATGAGTGAACTATGGTTCCGAAATAGTCTAGCTCATAGCTGAATTCTACTAAACGTATCCTCGATGATTTGGAACAGTAATTTAGTGTGATATATTGGCGTTACCCTTCCACCTATGTAGCTTTTGTTTCCCACCACTACTGGGTATCATTGCTTAAAATACTTGTCAGTCTACATTCAAACTGTCTTTCATCCTCGTGTTTTGCTGCCGGTTAGTATGAGATTTCGAGAAACTGTCAATTTATTTGAAACCCTCGAAACCCATTGATCTTCCCTAAGCTTCTAGTTTGAGTCACAAGTAGACAACAGTGCTGTTGTTACAACTGTTTAGATATCACATCAAGCCTCTCAGAATAAACTTAACCCACACGGTCGATTAAGTGCTTAGTTTATTGTTCGTAAACTGTACTTCTGACCATTTTTTCAGGATTAGTTCTAAGGGGTCTTCCTTCTGTGACTTATGGGCCCAGTAAGTTACAAACAAAAGCATGTTTACACTTCAGGATGGTGTGAGAACATGTGCATTGGAGTCTTAAAGACGATGTCTTTATTGAGTCGATGTTGGGGATCGTCGGAAATTATCTTTCCTTATGATTTCAATTTTTATTTTGTAGAAATAAATGGTTATTTGTGTATGGTTATTCAATCACAACATAGAACCTGTAGTCATCCACATCAGTCCAAGTTACGATACCCGATTAGCACAGAGAAGTGAAGTCAGATCAAATCTCAAAATAGTAGAGGTAGTGTGGTGGTTCCCAGCAAAAGAGCTTATACGAGATATATCAATACACTAGGTCATTAATAATATACCAGAAGAGTTGACAGTAAAAACCCTAGGTGTCTGTCTATGAGTAAAAACCAAGGGTAACAAATTACAGTTAGATTACAAATGGTATATTGAGCAACAAGATAATAACAGTTATTATGGAAGGAACGTTACAAATAAGTTTACTTGATTAACGTAGATTCCCCTGCAAGTTATGGCAACGACGGCGTGATGAGAAAGACAAAGTACAATAGTATTATATAATAATAATCCGGGCCAAAAGTCCAACGTAGTGTAGGAAGGCCTAAAGTTATGTTATAACACTATTATAGTCTTCAATCAAAGGCCGTGGCCAATAAAGCAGAACAGACGGCGTAGATAGCGTACTATATTTGAACCAGCGTGGTAGTAAATTCGTATATTCCTTTATCAAAACAATTATCATCGTTTTTTAACAAGTGATACAGAAAAACAAAAGAAATATCGAATAAAAAGTGTGACAAATTAGAGAGAAAATGCGGTTTTTATTTTGTCGTTACAAAAATCTCTGTATATACGTCACTATAGTAGTAACAATATCAGTGGTAATAGGAATTCACGAAAAGGAAATGTAAGTAATGAAAACACAAAGTCATGAGGATTTAGGAAAGACAAAGAATGGATGCACCTGAGCCATTGCAAGCGATTTCGAGCCATATCGTTCAAAGTCTAATCATTGGTTACGACAATCTCGTGAACCCCAACCAAATAGTCTGTACTTATTAACGTAGCTCAATCCAGTTGTCAGTGACTTCACAGACTGATGCAGTGTTTTGGCTTGACCGCCTCTAACCTTCTTCCAGCCAACCTTGCACCAGGAAACTTCACCCGTCGAAATAGGCGGTGGCTAGGTATACGTAACACATATCCCAACCACATAAGCTGATGAAAATTGACTACTTCACCGATGGATTTACCGCATTTATCTAGTACTCTTTCTAACCCAACCGCTTCATAGCTAAGTGAAGCGGCAGATGCGTTCAACTACACTTCCAATCCTGAAGTAACATTCCACATTTGTAGAGAATACTGTATCCGATAGTTGGAACAGATAGTCACTTCTATCCATTTCTTGGGTCCTCACTGATGAACTCGTCCAATTGTCGCTTAACTTGGTTTTCGTTTTCTACTTGGACGTGAAAACCCCATTCAGTGAGACTATAATTTGTGGACGACCCTTGAACGACACCAAAGTGATCTTGAGAACGTTCACCTACTTACTAGGGCTGAGTGAGGGTTATAAACCAATGTGGGGTAGTAAGAGTATGATTTACAGTTGATGGTTAGGGTTAAGAATTAGACTTAGGGTTTTCATCCAGAACTGACATCAGCTTAAATGCCAAAATGCTATCGAGCTAAATGGATTTCGCACTGAAACCCAAGACCTGTTATTGTAAATCTCATTTGTCCGTCCATAAGTTATAGTCTTGGCATCCATTCTATGATTGATCTGTCAGAGAGCTTAACTGTTTTAAGCTTATTGGACCTTCTATAAAACTCGTTTTTTTTCAACGTCGGAACTATGGTCAGCGAAAGCCTAAACTGCTAGTAGGTCTTATCTTCTAGACTGAATGGACTATGATTCCCAATTAGGAAACTTCTTGTTCACTTTCATTTACCGGTAACAACTCTGTTTTAAGCATTTAAAACAACTCACAAAAGTTACAAATTAAAATATCTTTTATCATTATGAACAGAAATAAACATAAAATAATAGCTATTGAAGAGAGAAAGACATCGCTTAACAGATGCAACTGTAAGCTTTCGGATAACCGGATTTCATCATGCCTTCGAATGAAACAGGGACGTTTATGGGAGCAGAATAAATACAGATTTCATTTCGGGGATTTCACATTTTAAAGGATTGCAAAGAATCATTATACTAGAATATTGAAAAGAAAATAGCAGATATCACGCTTGTGAATATTACAAATATTGTGGTACAATTAACCACAGTTAGCATCACATTAATTACATGTAGTTCTCCGTATAACTTGTGGTTTACTTACTAATGCCGAAAACACAGCCACACACGAATGATTTAATTTTTATCTTCCGGTAAACATAATCTACAGTTTACGTCCAATAAAAGACATTTCAATTTATTTCCGAAATCGTCACAATATTTGTTGAATTGCATTATATCACGAGGGCGTTTCGTCCAGAATTTGTGGAAAGAATAAAATGTATAGCCTGTTTAAAAAATGATAGGAAAGAGAATATATGTAGAGCAGAATGAGTTGTTTCATAATTAAACATGAAAGGATTCTACTTCTTACAGTTTTCGTGGATTTAGCACAATAATCAGGCTGTTAGAGTGACCAGTGAAAGCATTTCTATTAAGTTATACCAAAAAAATTACATACCTATCGCTTACAGCAAGACGTTTTTCTTAATAAGTACAAATCAGTTGATGAATAGGTAAATTGTAGAAAAATGTATGAAACTACTTATCAAAATCATAGAATTAATCTATATAGCCACTATTTTAGTTTGAACTGCCAAAACCTATTATAGACGGATCATCATATGAAACGAAGTTCTTGTTTTGATCAAACGATTCTGTTGCCACTATGCAATACAATGATGTGATACCTTGAATACCTTTATGTCATCAGCTTTGTTGTGAAACAATTTTACCCTTCAAATTTTAACAAACAGTGGATGAACATAGCTACTCGAACACATAACAATCAAGCTTTATGGTACATAATAAATCTATCAACACACACAAGCGTTGTACAATATTGTTTTACAGTATGAAAAAACATTGTGATAATGATAGAGATACACCGGATTTTCGAGGAAAAACTTGTTTTGAACATTTATACTTGCTCTAAAAAATGATTACAATGGAAAACAAGCCAAATCATTTCTAATTACTTAACACCAAGAGCAAGCTTAAACTGGTCATTTTAAAACTTTTGAAAAGAAAACTAATTAAATGATGTAGTTTTAACGAGCTAACGAAAGTTTTTTGATATTTTGGTAGTTTATCTTTTTTATCAATTGAAGTTTTTACTTCGGTTTTTTTTTGTGAAAACAGAGACTTTTGACATTAACTGTCAACCCCTTTTTAGTAAAACTATCAATGGTGAGCAAAAAATAATTTCAAAATGATATATTCAGACAGCTATAACTTATTAGAAGCTTTTCATTTTTTACCAACTAAGCTAAGTGATCACCGAGTACTTTATTCCAAAACATGGATGATTAAACTTTACACAGTACGACCCGTAATCAATAGTACGTCAAATTGATTATTCGTGTTATTTCGTAGCCGAATACACTAACATTTCTTGTTTATAATATTATTGTGGAGAAATTGCCGAATTCATACACACGAGATTATGCATGCTTTAGGTCAAAAAAAGCTTTAGGGATACTCTTATATAATACATGATTACATTGTTATACCTTTTCATAAGGATATCTATTTAGTAGCAATATATAGTCACATTGGTGAAAACTATAATCTCATGAGGATAGGGATTTTGAGGTTCTTATTAGTAATGTAAAGCTGAAATAATCACCGATATGCACTTCTTATATAAAGTATCATATGTTGTTTAAAAGATAATCACTTAATATTGAGTACACAAGACAAAATTACAAAGTGTAATGCTTTTGTAACAATCAAAACTAAAGTATGTGGATAGAATGACTTTAAACCGCTAATTCGACTGCTGCAATATTCCATAGACATACAAATTTTATTCAACTTAAGTAATTAATAATTTCGGATTTTTAACGGTGACTTAGGGACCTAACCTATTAGTCTATTAAACCTCATTTTAAACGGACTGACTAGCATTACCATTTTCATATCTGCTAATCAATGTAAGACGATGTGGTGTTATGTGCAGTGTGATGCTCTTTAAAATTAACAGTTAAATGGTTACTAAATAGAAGAGTATTATCCCTTCGCTTTGTGAAGTATTTATTTTCCTTCTCTTTTGACTCCGTATAAAATACCTTGGTATCCCATTAACTAAGACTAAACGTTGCAGCATGAGCTTCGAAACTATCAGAGATCGAATATAATTGCTGAATGTGTATGCTACTATAAAATCTGCTTGAGGTACAAAAAGTATTTTCCACCATGCCTAATCAAATACAGTCTTATTAATCTCTGAATTATGAGTAGAATGTGCCGAAGTTACTAATTTGCTAATGTAATTAAGTAACAAATGAGTGATCACTAGTTAACTAACAACTAGATGTCATGTTTTATTGGTTTTATAAATACTTTTGTGTAGCGAATTCTAAAACAAATAGTCATTAAAATTCAAGATGCCAGTAACTGCTCCTAATTGGTATTTCATAAGTCATCAGACATTTTCCATAAACATAAAAGCGTAATAATCGAACTTGGAAATGTAGATTTTCTGGGTGGGTGCTAGCCGTGGGACAATGAGTTACTGTACAAACGTAGTTTAGGCACTTAACTGATAGCTAATGCACAAATGGTTTCGGACTAATTTCAATAACCAAGAGTTGAACAACAAACTAATAATATCAGCTTTTGAAAAGTGAAGTTAATGTACGCAACTGTGCGAATCTATAAGTAATTACTAGGTCACAAAATAGGAAAAACTCAGGTAAATGAAGGTTTTTTTGCTCAGAATTTCTCAGTGTCACCCGGTCTGAAAACTGACAAGATTACATTTACTAACATATTGTCACATATCTAACGCTTTTATTGAGAAAATAAATAAAAAACCGCACCAGGTTTTATTAAGTCGACTAACAGTGAACTAAAAATAAACGGCATCGAAGGTGTAAAGAAAACAATTATATATATATATATATATATATATATATATATATATATATATATATATATATTAAATATATCCCGCTCCACGAGAGCTAACAGGCGTAGGTTTTAGAGTGAAACCCTATATGTTAGAATATGTTATTCTTAACCTGTACCAAAGACCCAAGCCTCACTTGTGCTATTTTGTCTTGAAAGACCAAGTCATATCCCTACTGCGAAAAATTTCAGACTAACGCCGAGTAAATAAACACGTACTTTATTAATAGGTAGCAGTACTTTATATTACAATAAGTACATGGTTGCCTATGTACTTAGATATTTTAAAAAGTGACTACCATTCTTCTCATAACCAAATTGCACTAAGCGTAAACCAGTCGTAAAGAATTGCACCTCACATAAAACTAACGCCATGTAGGGAAATTAAGAAAACTAAAACGGTAGCACTTACAGTAAAACTCGTTGAAGTCTTGGATGCTGGCTGATGAGGACGTATTATAGAACTGATATTTTAGATAACCCTTCAGCATGAAGTTGAATGATAACTTCGTCAAGTGGATACCAGTTACAGCAAATGGATACCTGATTGGTTGGAAACGAGTTAGTGCAATCAAATAACTTCTTAGTATTTACCATTTGTTAGGATGATGTGATGCCGATAACATACTTCGCGCTAATTTCGTATGTGATTCTGCGAAGTACCTATATAGGTATAAATTTAAAAGAAAACGCTATAGAAAGAAAAGTACAGCACAATTGATAGTAAGGATTTAGGTAGTGTTATTATACTGATCTAAGCTCTATGGTATGTATTTTTACTTGAAACATGATACAGTAATAACAAAAGAAGCCAATGCTGTGGCAAGTTTCCTAGGATATATATTTATGATGAGGAATATAAATGGGTTGAACAAGAACATAACACAAAGCCTGCTAACCATACTATAGGTCTTAATTGGTTTATGGAAATAAATTTGGAAAATATTCTATCAACCGTATCTTCAATATTTATTTGAAGACGAAAACATTGGTACAAGGAGGCACCAAATATGTATGCGCCACACATCGTTTGATTTGTGTGAAAGCTGGGGTACTACCCGAACTCCCAGACCGAAGCAGTTGGTTTTCTTGGAAGGCCACTCTCCGAGCCTTTTAACTAGAGGTCTAATCCACAAGGCAGTGGAACAACGTTAGTAGATTATTATTATTTTAACACATAGATATTGGTACAAGGAGGCACCAAATACATATGCGCCACACAAATCTCAATTGATGTGTGAGGGCTGTGATACTGCCCGGGTGCCCAAACCGAAGCAGTTGGTTTTCTTAGGGGGCCACATCCCGAGCATTCGACATGAACGACTGACCCACAAGGCAGTGGAGCATCGTAAGGAGATGCAGTCCCATGGTTCATACACCATTTGTTCCTTCAGGATACTGGAGCCAGCCCATATGCACCATTGGTTTGGGATTCGGTTAAAGCGCCGGAAATTCGCTTTTCGTCCTCTCATTTTCGCAAACAACAGTAGTGCCACGAGAAGGCAGTGAGTAGAACTTCCCTGACAGAGGCTATATACGCGTGGCCATGTGAGAGCATTTCGAGAGGGAAAGCGGACTCTCCCCTCTCGGTCGTACCAGGGCATTTGGAGGCACGTTAGTAGATGCAGTCCCGTGGTAGTCGGTGACAAACAATAGGTGTATACGCTTTTGTTTCCCCAGGATCCTGGAGCCCATGTGCACTACTAGTTTGGAATAAGGGCTTTCCAAATCTCCTAGATGGATCTTCCGTGTCCACCAACCCGCTTGAAGCGCCGGACACTTCGTTTTTGTTTTCTCAATTTCATAAGCAACATCTCGCTTCGAGAAGGCAGTGAGCAGGACTTCCCTGACAGTAGTATGTTTAATTCATCCACAGTAAATTTGCCTTACACCTCTAACAATAAGGCGCTTTACTTTGTACAGGTTGTGGGGGCTGACAGTTGGAAATGGTGTTTGGCTTTAGAAAAATATAACATTACTTTCAACTTTTGTCAATATGACATTTCTGACCAAAATGTACCTCAAAATGTTCTGAATAACTGCAATAATTGGACTCAAAATCAACCAAGCATACAGTAAGGGTTATTTATAGTATTTAGAATCTAGGTCAATACTAAGTGATTAGATGCAATTATACGATACTGCTTCAATAAACGTTTGAAGAATGCCGAAACGCGATGTAATGGAACAAACTATAAACTACGATTCTGCGCTGCTCAGGGGTTTCATACTAGGACGAAACGGCCATCCAGTGCTCTCAGGTTTCCAGTGGTGGTCTCATATTGACTAGTTCTTATTTCAATCAAAACTCAACAATCTCCACATCTTTAAACTGATATAAAGCATGGATTTTGGCCAACTCACAGGCTGGTTAAGAGTGCTACAATAACAGTACCCTTTCAAATAAAAATTCAACACGAGAAGAAAACAGGAGTTGTTACAAGGAGTACACTCCAATGAAAAATACTCACGAATAAAAACTGGTGTATTTGGTTGAAACGAATGAGGAGTCAGCAAGCTTATGACAAGAGTTTACAAATTATAAGTTTTAAAGTGGATGTAAAGAAGACCACATTACGTTTTAATTCACTCACATAACACCACCGTAGAATAACACTATGAACAACCAGCGTTCGAAAAACAACCGTTTTACCATACCAAATTCGGTTTTAACAATTGTTTACTTTTGTCATTTTAAACCTTGTAGTACAGGTTTAAAAAACAAAATCATTACTATGAGGAGAAACGACAGAAAAAACGCTAGGCTTACTATGTTATTCAGAGTTCTAGCCTTAATAATGAGTGACCATAAATATTTAGTCCATTATTATCAGCGTAGAACCTGCCATATATTTGAACGTGACCTTGTGATTCTGGATAGTTATGACTAATTTTTCAAATCTAATGTGGACTAAATAAGTGTAGATTTTACATAAAAATAAGGGATTAGTAATGCTGAATGATAAGAATGAAAATCATCCTACGTTGAGCGCTGTCACATATATCAGTTTTACATGAGCAAATCAGCTACTTCACCCGAAGAACCTTTATACGTCATTAAGATGAGTTTTGACAAAACATAATCACTAAATTTATGACTAGTTTTACCAACTAAGTACGACTTACACAAGATTTTCAAGAGACAGTATACCCATTCCGCGGAAATCCGTTTCGGGGTTCTCCGTCTGAAATCCAAGAAGAGTCCACTTTTCTCCATTATGGGATGACAGTTCGTTTTGAGAATCAAGACAAATCCATAACTACAAAAATTCAAGTCATTTGTGAAAAAAATACCCTTGAGAGTAATTCAGAGTGGTAGTTATCATTTGAATTAAACGCAGTACACCTTGAGGCATCCAGTTTATCTATTAGTTCCCGATAAGTGTTGATTTGATTTATGCAGTACAAATAATCGGTAGGAAAACTGGCATAAGTTTGTGTATATGATAATACTTTGGTTGATCTTTTAGATCGATACGCTTAGCACTAATGACAAACTGCACATGTGACTTAGCATCTGTATATTTTCTCAAAAGCAATCCATTTTGAATAGATTTATTTTTTGAATTCCTCAGCGAGTTTTCTTACATATACAATCAACAAAATACTTAAACTAAACCAACCTATTCTGACAGTTCTGGATGCTCCTTTAGGACAATCAGCAATTATGCGACTTAGCTCACACCTCCCTGTTACTAATCGAGAAATATACTTTATCATAGGACGGAAAATTGAGTATATCACCTGAAACAAGTAGACAAGTATGTATGTTAAAAATTTCATTTGTAGGATTAGTGTGTTGTTGATAACCGATTCAGTGTGATTTATATGTATCTGGTCAGCGAGGTAGACGAACGTTTGAGTTGAAATAAACTAGCCGATGGACGAGAGTAAAAACGTCAGATCCTTTCAAAGCTGCCCGCCGTTGTTACAACGACCTTGAAGGCTTGACAAGAGGCGGTCAATCGTACTTCAATTACCTTGGGTTTGTAGGGTTGTATGAGTATTAGGTTTTCTCATGTTTAAGTTGTCTAATGTTGCATTAAAAAGCACTAAATAACCGCCGAAAGCATTGGTTTAACTCTCTCTGTTTTGTAGTTTACATAGATCTATCGTTGTTTCGTAACTTCATCTGTAATAACATTTGATCTAGTGAACCTCACCGCCTTTGTTTAATTTTTTCATGAGGTCGAGAAAAATGCTTTATCATAGGACGGAAAATTGAGTATCTCACCTGAAACAAGTAGCACGACTAACTTCAAAATACAACAAGGGACCTTAGGGAGAAAGGACGATGACTCTTAATCAAAACTGCCAAAAGGAATGGAAGGTATATCCGATATCTTAATGACGAGCTCATATAAACCGATTTATTTGCTTTCGTTTTCATCTTGCTAATCTGACATGCATACAGGTCCTTGGTAATTTCCTGTGAGCGGTAGTCTAGCCAGTTGAATTCACAAGTTCTAGTTAGTTTGGTAATTATTTGTGGCTTTGCATATCCTCAAAGCTGAATGAGTGGGTTTTTCTCACGGTAGCAGGGTTTCTGTAACCATTAAGTGTCTCCTTATCAATCAAGAGATTTGTTGCAGTGGGAAAGAAAACTCTAATACTAAGAGGAGTCCATCGTCTCAAGAGCTAACTAACTAAATAAGCTAATCGATCGGCAGTGCAGACAGTATGAGCAGGCCGATGTGTAGGAACAAAAAGGGAGATAATAACAAAAGAGATGATAATAGGTGAGACAGGAAGTTGTCATTGATATGTGATAATGATAACAGTAGTAAGTTACGAGAAACTCATCAGAAGGCTAACCCAAGCGGAAATGGTGATCCATGGGTGAGCACATGTTTTTCAAATATCCACTTTAACCTGTTCACTGAAGGGGTTATAGTTATTATAACCTGAAATGCGTTCCAAGTGGAAGCAGCGCTTTATGAGAAAAAGTGGAAGCTATCTGAAATTTTGCCTTTAGATGTGAAATTTTTTAGAGGTTGCGTTGGGAAGCATGATGGTGATGTTTTAGTAGATCGTTCGTGATAGGATGGCTTGATGTACATAGTATGTTTGATGCCATGTTCAGATTACCTCTAATTCTTCCATAGCTCATGGGGAATTATGCTGCGTCTGAATCAGTCTTCTTAATACTTATCGTAACGGAAAGAGAACAATAAAAATCCTTCCACAGCATTTTTGTTGAACAGTATTTTCATTTATTTGTTTCTTCTCCCTGTCACATATTTTAAACTTTGTTCAGATCTCGTTTGAGCTTTTATATTGTGATTTTGATTGATAACTTATCTCTTTTTTACCTAATTTTCAATTGCATGTTGCCGGACTATTGTCAATAAGGTCGTGTTTAACTAAGCTCAAAGTCATGGCGTTATTCTGTGTGTGACTGTTAACCTTTTGACTATCTGCTTGGGAGGATTGCTGGAATCCCTGCAGATATATATTTGTTATATTTCCTAAATTAGAACCGTTTAAATTGAGCACAAAGTTTGTGTTTTGATATAATTTAATACGAGTGTCTCAAAAACGCCTGGTAAACTATACAGAAGAGCGTAGTCTGGCCTATTCGAATAAATTTTGGTTCGTCAGTCCTGAGTTCAAACCGAATACTGGTAGTTCGGTCGTTACACTTATTCTTTAGCCCTCCGTACTTGTCTCAATAGATTTAAGTCTGTTTCGAGGAGAGAGAAGAAGTAAATATAAGGAATTTGAGTTGACGTCTTGAGCACATTTTAGTCCGTATGAGAAACTGTTTTGGGGGGATTGAACCAAGATGTCTTCTCACAAAGTGAAGAGTTGCATTTCCATCGACTACAACCCGAATATATTTTGAAGTAGTGTCCTTGATCTTTGTGGTTGCTGGAACAAGATCACCCTCTGAGGAGACCAGTGAGCGCTGATTTTCATAGAGAACTTTAGTTGTTAGTCAGTCATGTGGCTGAATGACATCCTGATGGACTAAATTTCAAATTATAGTCCTTTTGAAGATATGTTTACATTCTTATGGACCTTCACATCAAAGTATTGTCAGCATGTACGATAATCGACGTGATAAATGTTACTGAGAGGTCATTTATGAAGATCAAGAAGAAAATTGCCATTAAAAAGGCTTTTTTGTGATTCCTTAAGTTGAGATCTTCAAGCTGGTTGGAACTCTTCACATATTAGTGTGAAACACTGTTCACTGTGTAATTTCCATGCTTGAGAAGAATAATGTCAGTTTACCCCATCTTTTCAAACTTTCCTATATGAAGTACTGGCGTAACTGCGTCAAACGCTCTGGAATGATCGAAGAATACTACGCGAACCGGTGTTTAGCTTACTTGAAGGGAACATATTTGTCAATCTGTTACCACATTCTCTCATCCATTACTTTAGAAAGTGTTGGTATTTTGGTGACATATCCACACCAGTTCCTTATTTCTCCATCTTTGAAGATCAGAAAGAGTATCCTGATTCCATTCTTTCGAAAGTTCCTGTGAACCTGTACTTTTCACACCGAAGTGATGGCTTCTATGTCCACTATCTCGGGGTTACAGGAGGAACTTGTTTCATCTCAGTGGATTTCTCATGTCGAGAGACATTAGTTTATTCATTGCTAACCCAGGAGTTAGATAAGTATTCCCCGAATCATCAACTAGAATTACACTTAAGAATTATTCCGCGCCAGTTGGTTCCTGGTTAAAAATTTCTTCAAAGTTTAGGTTGGTATGTACTAAACCTTTGTCCTCCTTAGGAGCACAAGTCACCTGTTTCGTGTTTTTTCTCTGAGTCATGAACCTATATATTTTGAGTAAGTTTTTATTTATGCTGGCAGATTAATTATAAATTATCTCTTGTCGCTACGATCTGTGGCGTTGCACCGGTTTCTTGATGGAAAGAAAAGTATACAGTCAGAATCCTCCATGGAAGCTTTCAATCTGTTTCAAACTACACTATCTAGCTCCCAGACCTTTGTAAACAACGTCATCAGCTCCTTAGCCAGAAAGTCACCACCATCTTTAGAAAGAGCTGGAGGTAAGTCATCTGGGCTCTGTGATTTGCAGCTCTTCAAGGGTTGGAGTTCCTTGCGTACTTCCGCCTCATTTGATCGGTCAGTTGTCACAGGCCACGGAGGGCAAGACAGTCTGATCGCTGTTGACAGGGTAACAGACCACTAGAACTGCACCAGATGCAGTTGCTGCTTCCAACTCATTGGCACTCTCAAACCACCAGGTTTCTCGGTACTGACACGAGCTTTGCCCGATTTCATTACGTAACAGCCTTCGTTTGTGGTCAAACTCACGATCACCCGGAGTAGACCGACGAGCTTCAATGAATTGTAAGCAACCAGAAGAAACCCAGCGCTTTTAAGCGGGACGTTTCTCGAACCCACAACAGACTTTACTCGCCATTTTCATGGCGTCATGCAATTGCAGCCAGTGCTCATCTATACTTTTGGGTGGAATGGTGGCTAGCCTAGAAGCTAGCTCGGTTCGGTACTTACCAGCAACAGAAGTTGTAGCCAGCTTGCTAACGTCAATCCTTTGTTGGTGGTCACTTCGTTGGCCGCGATTTGATCAATCTGAGTCCAGGTTTGAGATGCAGAGAGAGAACACCAGGTAGCACATCGGCGATTATTGTGCCGGTAGTTAGTGCTAGCTAGAAACACGACGTAGTCTAAGAACAGTTGCAGGAGACGGTCCCCGTTATCTGAACTGCGATCAACAAGTTCACATCGGCCACCTAAACGACTCTCTTCTGTGCCTAGACGCCCGACCTGAGCATTCAAGTCTCCGGTCAGTACTACAATATCTGCCGAACGCACTTTCTGGAGAAGAACAGTTAACTGGTGGTAGAACTCATCCTTGATTGCATCCGGGCTGCAATCTGTCGGGGCATAGGCGGAGATGACGAAAAGAAATCGTTTCTCACGCCGATTTTTTCTCACCTTGATGGAACTTTCTAGTCTAACAGCATATAACCGACTGTTAATGGGGATCCAATCGATTAGTGCTGCCTCAGCTCTAGCACTTAGTGAGACATCAACGCCAGCAAGACCAGACGAAGATGCCACAGGGTCCCCGGATAAACGCACGTAAAACAAGCTTTTTGAAGTGACAGATGGAGAGCGAACTTGTAGAACTTCACCAGAGTCTTGAATACGGGTCTCGGATAGACAATAAACGTTGATATTAAGACTTTCTAAAGACATAGCCAATCTTATCTGTTATCCGATCTGAATAAGTGTGCGAACATTGAAGAAAGCCAGTTTGAATGGTGCTTGTGGCTTCAGAAAGACTGCTTCAGTACTCTTATTCGATGGTAACATACAATTTTCAACCAAGCAGTGACTCGAGAACGTTTAGACAGAACCGAACATTCACCATAGGCGAGCTACTGCATAAGTTGAATAATGGGGATATATGAAGTGAGAGTAGAGGTAGATAAGTTATATAGTTTATAAAAAATAGTTATAATAATTGTTATAATAATAAAGATGAATGCTATCAAATGAAAGTAAAATGTCTGAGTTCTCAATCGGAGCGAGCATAGTATTTTGTGAAATGATTGTCATATCAAATTTGTGTGAGGGCTGTTGTACTGCACTGGTGCCAAAACCGAAACAGGTGGTTTTCTTAGGGGACCACACCCAGAGCTTTTGACCTAAAGGTCTAATCCACAAGGTGTGGAACGTCAGGAAATGCAGTCCTATGTTAGCCTATGAACAACGATTGGTTCATACACAATTTGTTCCTTCAGCATCCTGGAGCCCATGTGCACCATTGGTTTGGAATTAGGGATTTTCAACTATCCTAGGTGGATCCCGCATGTCCACTAACCCGGTTAAAGCTCTGTAAACCCGCTTTTCATCCTTTAAATTCCGTAGATAACACCCCCGCCACGAGAATACTCACCACTATACAATCGAGGAGCATCTATGAATAGT